TTTTAGCAAGCTACAAAGGTGCTCTAGTCCTCAGTGACAGAGGACATCATTCAGAGCACATACTGTGAGAGTCATTTCAGGGAAATTCTTGAAAAATGACCAAGATATAGGAAAGCAGATTCATTGGGAAAAGAAGTCCTTATAGAACTTTGAGTGTCAAAAGACTTATTTTTCATGGGCCTTCCCACAAGTTTTAAGTATGGAAAGTTATCGGTGGAAAATACTTCTGCAATCACACAATTGACACTTTCCCTTTGCATTACCATACTCCGAGATATTAATCTTACCATCCATTGCTTTCTCAGAATTGGGCCCTCTGTCTTCTCCTGTGGCTGCATCAAGCAAGCTCAAGTTGTCAAAACCAGAGAATGCAAGAAAGAAAGGCACACCTGTGTCCCTCATGGGTATGGAAATCAAGAATGTGTTTAATGAGCCTTTCTGCTACAAGTGTATATCTCAGCCAGTCAGTTGAGGGAAAGTTCTTGGATCACAAATGAATGACCCCTTTCACTAAATTCTACACAACTGGTACTCATTCACTTCTAGAACAACTGCAGAAAAAGCACAGGTGTTGGGAGTGCAGCGCACTGAAGAACTCCCATATGTGTCAACGAAGATATTTGCCATCACATCCTTCCTCACTGTGCCTCTTTCCGTTGGCATCCATTTGCTTTCCTCTTTGATTTATGGCTATTGCAAAGAGTCTCAGGGTTGGAAACTTCACTGCTTGTGTTGATTCAACCTACGTTTCTGCCCCTGTTTAAGGTGCTACCATGCAGCCTTGTGGTTTTGACAACCCAAAACCAGGAAATATGCACACAAACCCTAAAGGGCCAAAGGCTACCAAAGTTATTCCCAAAGTGAAGCATGAGTGTCCAGCTCCTTCTTAATATGAGACCAAGGTATGGCTGGTTTTGTCACATGCATGGCTAATTGACTCTATGTCCCTTTTCCTTTTCAGTATCTCAGACGGCTCTTTCCTTGAAGGTAATTGCACCTTGCGCTTCTCTTCCTATGACCTACACATTGCAGTAAATACACAGCATTTATTGGATATCATTTTCCCAAACCCATCCAGCCTCCCACTGGATTGAGACATTCTCGTGAAACTACAGACATAGAGATGAAGGGTGCCAGGAAGAAGGATGTCAAGACTATTACATCAGGTACATTTTCTACTAGGAGTTCTTTGCAAAGGCGTCTATTTAATAAACACCTGAAATGGTGGCATTATGTGAAAACCTCTGAAAGGCTCCCATTCCTCATTCTTCTGTATCCCCCATTGGAAGGGGATATTGGATACAGAAAAGGACAATGTCAACCTGGGCAGTCACGTTGGTACAAAATTGCCTTTATCAACGTGAGAAAAATACCATTCAAGGCAACCGTTAACTCAGTTGTGTGTAAAACCCAAGATCCACCACTGGATTTAGGGATTTATAATCATGAATGAGGAAGCTTAGGCTAAGGTGCTGCAGAGTTTCCAGATGTGCAGTGGACAGCTAGGCGGTAGTGTCAGGCTCCTGAGAGACTGAGGTCCATATTGGACTTGGACACAAAAATAGATGGTGAGCCAGTGAGACATATGAAGAAGCCTCGTAAAAACAATCAGATTGCGTGCTACCATGACACCCAGCGTATTCTTTGATGGCTCACACCCATAGTGTGGTCTATGCACGGATTTATTCAGTCAGTGACCTCTTCCAACTGTGTGCTTTATTCTGCACTCACTTAATATGTTACGTCACAATACATTTCCCCTCTCCTCTTTCCTATAGAAAAAGTATTGTATTATTAGGACATAGGCAATAACTTCCTCGCATGGTCTTTGAGGCTGCCAATCTAAAGTTCCTCCTTCACGACATTGATGCCATGGATCCTATTCCTATTCATGCCTGTAATAATCATTTTCAAGGGAGGGAATTGAACCCAGGACCTTGACATGTGAAGCAGTTTCTCTACCACTGAGCCTGAATGCCAGCTCTTCTGATTCATTGAGGAGTTTGGCAATTCCAAGGCTCAGGACATCGCACACCAAACATGAAGAACACTTTCTTCAGTGTAGGCAGCTGAGCAGCACAGAAACCAGATGGTGAACACAAAAACCTGAATCCTGTCCTCTAGTTCATGTCCCATTTCATTGGATACGTTTTATAGACTTGTGAAATGATCTCCAGTTCTAGGGACACAGCTTTTTAGTTGAATTCACTTAAAAAGCTCATTGTTCCCTCGCACTGACGACTTCGCGTCCTCTACCTTTCGGCATACCTTCCCCCAGTCCAGGTGTGCATCGATATTATATTGGGTGGAGGCCTTCTACACATTTGCTGCCAATTTTGCACAGGCCCCTCGCATTTGATGTACCCAGGGGATTTTTCATGTTGTTCTCGCTATACTGCACACATGAGGCATGAACCTCAGTGTACCCACGTTGCCTTTATGCACTGATGTTTTATGCACGTGATGGTCCCAGTATTGTCAAGAAAACTAGAAACCTTTCAGAGTGTAAATTGGGCCTCTCTCAGTTTATGCATCCCTGTCCCCTGTCCTTTCAGTCACTTGACATGACTCCAACTGTATTTGTTTTGAGCCATGCAGATGCCATTGAATCATGGTCTCTTTCTCTCCCTTGCAAATCCCTTCCTTGCTGTCACCATTTCCGACCCCTGGCTGCCCCCCATGCTCACTCATTGAGACACTGCTCTGGCCCTACCTGCAGGAACACCACCACATCTGAAGTCTTTTATCCACACTAGCACTTACCAGGAGCTCAGTCAACTATCAGGTCAAGTAAATCAAGACTCTTGGCAATGGTGACTGATACCATTGACTGAGGATGGGACCCATAATTTTGTACCCTGCAATCCAGAAATCATGATGATCCAGAACTAAGGGAATCATCCAGTGGAAAAACAAGTAAATAGCTAGCCAAGGAACAATGCAAGAAACACCAGTCTGTGTACCTAGGAAATTTCTGTCAGGTTCATCCAATGGTTTTCCTAATACCTAGCATAAGATCCCAAGAGAGGTAATCTGGTGACAGAATGTTTGCCAAGCATGCCAAAGTCCATGGGTTCCATTCCAGGATCACTCACTCATACACAGTAGCAATGTAAGTAATAAAATCAGCATTCAGCTGAAAGTGAAGCTGCACGTAAATGCATGTGTGGGAAAAGAGAAGTGAATTACTGTTAGACCTATGTATTTCCATTAGGACACAGCATCACTGTTCAGGATGTTCTAATTCATTTATGTAAATCTGCATATTTGTCAGCAGAACCACATTTCAATGTGAAGGCAGAGGAAGCGGGCACAACCCTTGGTGGTTCCAAGAAGCGGAAGCCAAAGGTATGTAAACATGTCCATTTCCCTTCCTTGCTTCCCAGCATTTGCCTTGCTCTACTAATGGACAGTAGGCCCCATGAAATTACCTCTGTGACTATTCTCATCAAGCTGAGATCATCACTAAATCCTTAGGTCTAAAAACACTTGGAAAGTTTAAAAATGTGCAAACCATTTCAGTATTCATGATACCTTATTGAACTAGTTGCTCCTTAGGTCTGAGGCCTAAAATTGCTTGGTGTTTTCTGCTTCCATTTGGATAACCTCCTTAAATGATCAATGACTTATGATCAAATATTAGACTGATTTAACAGCTGGTTATTATGATGAAATAATGAAAAACACCAATGGCCACCAAATGGACTCATGTTCAAGGATGGTCCCTACTTGTGGCCCAAATGGTTAGGATTATACCACTAGCCTCTAATCAAGGGCCATGGATTTCAATAGGCCTTGTCTTCAGTGTCTATTCCCCAATAGACAAATGGGTCAGTTCTGGAACACAGCTTCCTGAGCATTGAGGCAAGAGAACCATGAGAAAATGGGGGAAGGGGCAAGAATAGGGAAGGAAGATGTTAAAATATTACTGTTGGCACAAGAATAGGATCTTGCAATTCGAAGAACCAAGAAACTCCCCAAAACGCTTGCAGAAGTAATAAAAAAAAATGACAAAAGGAGCAGGATAGAAAATGAATATTTAAAAAGAAAGAAAGAAAAAAAGAGAAAGAAAGTAAGAAAAGAAAGAAACCTGTGCTTTCCCACAGACCCACAGTGAATGTTCGGACTATGCAATCAGGAAAGCCATTTTCATTCCCATGATATTCTGAGTTGCCCTGCTACATTCTTCCACACTCTTTTTGTGCCTGTCTCCTGGCATATTCAATTTTCATGTACCAGGGGGTCTTGAAAATGTGTACTCAAAATCACTTTTATGCCTTGGTACCCTTTTCTGTCACTGTTTTCTTTTTGACTAAAAAGTGCTGCCTACACAACCACATCATTAAGCCCAAGTTAGGTAAATGCAAAATGGAGAAACCTTTCTCTCCCTAATTCTATCATCATATGAGATGGATGGGTCTTCCTCTCAGTAAAAATTTCCCCAAAGGTGATTTAGATTGCTAAAGTTTTTGTTCAGCTAAGGAGGCCCAGGTAACACTCTTCTGTTTCCCTTCAGCATGGCATAATTCCAATTGTCTTACAAACCTATGTGATTCTATCACAAATGTCCTGTCATCAGGATGTTGCCAGTGTGTAATGCTGGCTGATATCCGAATTTGTCAGAATGTGTTCCAGTATATTTTAAATATCATTCTCTCCTTTATGGTAGAAAACGTTGAGTCGGGTTAGGTGTTACAGGAGTAGTATGTCTGCGCAGTTTCGCGCATCAGATCCTATGTTTTGGGAGAATGTGTTTCTTCTGTGGTGGCGTTCTCCTTTCAGAGTCAGTAGCCATGTGAAGATTAATGTTGGTCTTCATGGGGGAGGATATATGGAGATCTCTTTTCAATCGTTCAATTTTGGAAGATTAGACTTGTCTAGTTTGTTAATCCTTCCTGACGTGCACAGCCCAAGTGACATGTCTGCTTTAAAATGTTGATTCAGAATCGGTTATTGATATTAATTTTAAATGATATCAATTTTGATATTAATTTTACCAGAGAGTCTCTGAGATTTGCTCAGGAGAGAGCTTGGATGGTTCCTCTGAGGATACGATTGAAAAGGAAGCACATACTCTGGAAGGTAAGAGCCTTTATATTTTTCATATAAAAAATTACAGTGGACAGCATATTTATTTCAATCCTAAGCAGCAGTCTATTTGAATAGTGGAAGACAGGAATCTACTGAGTAGTGGAAGGTAACAATGGGTACATCTCCTGCCTTTTGAGGGACAGGTAACATCCAGAGTGTCATGAGGTGATTGGAACCAATGATTCAAAACCTGAGCAGACTAAGGTTGGGAAACACTGGAGGGGACAGTAGAAGGTGGATTGAAGAAGGCGCAAAACAGAGTACAGGGAGTCAATGGAGAGAAAAGAAGCAAGCAGGTGTGCACCGTGAAGGGGGGAAACTCAGATGACTGGCTACAGAGAGAGAAAGAGAGAGAGAGGGAGAGAAGCATATTAGAGATGCCAGAAAGCCTTGTGAGCTTCAGGGACCAAACTTGGCATGAGATGTAGTGCCAGTTGTTCCAATCTTCCTGTCTTCCTCCTGGTGAGAAAGGCGTTCAGGAACTCAGTCCCAGGTCATGCAGAGCTACCTTGATGGACCACCCGTAAACTGACATGTTCCCACAGCCACAAACAGAATTGAACATCCTAAGAAACGCTGGTATTTTTTGGAGTACCCTCTGGACTTGGGAAGTGTAGGGTTGGTTATGGATTGATCACCAAGGCGCCAGCCTGACCGAAGGTCCACTGGAAAAATTGACTCCTTATACATCTTTGATTTGGGGGACCTGGCAGAGAGGAGACTGTGGCTCGATTCCAAATAGGCAGTTGAAGTTGAAAAATTTAGGGTTGGACTCCCACAGACTGCATCTCTCCACTCCCATGGGTCATCTGTTGGGGACCAGGTTCAAGATACGCATTGCAATTCGGCAGGTCTTGAATTCTGCATCTGTAATGGGTTCTAAGGTGATTCCAATGCTCCTGGCCCTCAGAGCACATTCTGAGGAGTCAGGGAATGGGCTTCTCCTTAATGAAGCCTCAGTGAAGAGCCATGGGGAGATAGCTGAGGACCAAAGGAGACGAATGGAAGGCCAAGGTTTTGCTTTCATCTCTGAGCATGGCACTTGACAAGGGGGAAGGTCCTTGTAAGGTTATTTGAGAAAAAGAGTGAGTGGGAGAAATCCATACAAAGGCAATCAAGTGGACAATCAAGATGGAGACCACCGTGGTCGAGGTTCTTTCTGAAAAGCAGAAGGGTAAGGGAAAGGAGGAAGGCAAGCATGAAGTTAGCTAGGTACATTTGGAGACGGTGATGAGGAAGCAGGGAATGCATCTCAGCTGTCTTCAGTATGTCTGCCTTCAAATGAAAACTGGGAGTACTGTCTGTCCGTAGATTATTCAAAGTAGAGGAGAATGGTACATGGAGTCAAACTTGAGCAAGTCATTTCCGTGTGCCGCACTTGCAGGCCTGGAGCCTGCATTTTGCAGTGATGTCAGTGGTTCAGAGGGGATCTCTATGATTGTAGAAGCACTGGATTTTTTCAAAAAGACAGCTCTCATCTCCTTCCCTATTCTGGGGAGGGGGACATAGTGCGATGGAATCCAGAGCTTTTAGCAAGCTACAAATGTGCTCTAGTGCTGAGTGACACCTGACCCTATTCAGAGCTCATTTTGTGAGAGAGTCATTTCATGGAAATCCTTGAAAGATGACCAAGATATAGGAAAGCAGACTCGGTGGGAGCAGAAGACTTTGTAGAGCTCATACTTTGAGTATCCAAAGACTTATTTTTCATGGACCTTCCCACAAATTCTCCTCAAGTTCAAGAATCAAATAGACCACAACACAATAATTATGGGTGACTTCAACACACCTCTCTCACAATTGGACAGATCCTCCAAACAAAAGCTGAATAAAGAAACTATAGAACTCAATATCACAATCAACAACCTAGACTTAACTGACATATATAGAATATATCAACCATCATCAAGTGGATATACTTTTTTCTCAGCAGCACATGGATCCTCCTCAAAAGTAGACCATATATTATGCCATAGGGCAACCCTCAGTAAATATACAGGGGTGGAGATAATACCATGCATTTTATCTGATCATAATGGAATGAAACTGGAAATCAATGATAAAAGACGGAAGGAAAAATCCTACATCACATGGAAAATGAACAATATGTTACTGAATGATCAATGGGTTACAGAAGACATAAAGGAAGAAATCAAAAAATTCTTAGAGATAAATGAAAATACAGACACAACATATCGGAATCTATGGGACACAATGAAAGCAGTTTTAAGAGGGAAATTCATCGCTTGGAGGTCATTCCTCAAAAAAAGGAAAAACCAACAAATAAATGAGCTCACACTTCATCTCAAAGCCCTAGAAAAGGAAGAGCAAAACAACAGCAAATGTAGCAGAAGGCAAGAAATAATTAAAATCAGAGTGGAAATCAACAAAATTGAAACAAAAGAAACTATTGAAAAAATTAACAAAACTAAAAGTTGGTTCTTTGAAAAAATAAATAAGATCGACAGACCCTTAGCCATGCTAACGAAGAGAAGAAGAGAGAGAACTCAAATCACTAACATACAGGATGAAAAAGGCAATATCACAACAGACACTACAGAAATACAGAAGACAATTAGAAATTATTTTGAAAACCTATATTCCAATAAAATAGAAGATAGTGAAGACATCGATAAATTCCTTAAGTCATATGATTTGCCCAGACTGAGTCAGGAGGATACTCACAACTTAAACAGACCAATAACAATAGATGAAATAGAAGAAGCAATCAAAAGACTTCCAACCAAGAAAAGCCCAGGACCGGATGGGTATACAGCGGAGTTTTACAAAACCTTTAAGGAAGAATTAATACCAATACTTTTCAAGTTATTTCAGGAAATAGAAAAAGAAGGAGCTCTGCCAAATTCATTCTATGAGGCCAACATCACCCTGATTCCGAAACCAGACAAAGACACCTCAAAGAAAGAAAACTACAGACCAATATCTCTGATGAACCTATATGCAAAAATCCTCAATAAAATTCTGGTGAATCGGATACAAAGGCACATCAAAAAATTGTGCACCATGATCAAGTAGGATTCATCCCTGGGATGCAAGGATGGTTCAATATACGGAAATCAATAAATGTTATTCATCACATCAATAGACTTAAAAATAAGAACCATATGATCATCTCAATAGACGCAGAAAAAGCATTCGACAAAGTACAGCATCCCTTTATGTTCAAAACATTAGAAAAACTAGGGATAACAGGAACTTACCTCGACATTGTAAAAGCTATCTATGCTAAGCCTCAGGCTAGCATCATTCTCAATGGAGAAAAATTGAAGGCATTCCCCCTAAAATCTGGAACAAGACAGGATGCCCTCTATCACCACTTCTATTCAATATAGTTCTCGAAACACTGGCCAGAGCAATTAGACAGACGAAAGAAATTAAAGGCATAAAAATAGGAAAGGAAGAACTTAAATTATCACTATTTGCAGATGACATGATTCTATACCTAGAAGACCCAAAAGGGTCTACAAAAAAACTACTAGAACTAATAAATGAATTCAGCAAAGTGGCAGGATATAAAATCAACACGCATAAATCAAAGGCATTTCTGTATATCAGCGACAAAACTTCTGAAACGGAAATGAGGAAAAACACTCCATTCACAATATCCTCAAAAAAAATAAAATACTTGGGAATCAACCTAACAAAAGAGGTGAAAGATTTATATAATGAAAATTACAAAACCCTAAAAAGAGAAGTAGAAGAAGATCTTAGAAGATGGAAAAATATACCCTGTTCATGGATAGGCAGAACTAACATCATCAAAATGGCGATATTACCAAAAGTTCTCTATAGGTTTAATGCAATGCCAATCAAAATCCCAACGGCATTTCTTGTAGAAATGGATAAAGCAATCATGAAATTCATATGGAAAAATAAAAGACCCAGAATAGCAAAAGCAATTCTAAGCAGGAAGTGCGAATCAGGCGGTATAGCGATACCAGACTTAAAACTATATTACAGAGCAATAGTAACAAAAACAGCATGGTACTGGTACCAAAACAGGTGGGTGGACCAATGGTACAGAATAGAGGACACAGAGACTAATCCACAAAGCTACAACTATCTTATATTTGATAAAGGAGCTAAAAGCATGCAATGGAGGGAGGATAGCATCTTCAACAAATGGTGCTGGGAAAACTGGAAATCCATATGCAACAAAATGAAACTGAATCCCCTCCTCTTGCCATGCACAAAAGTTAACTCAAAGTGGATCAAGGAGCTAGATATCAAATCAGAGACTCTGCGTCTGATAGAAGAAAAAGTTGGCTCCGATCTACATATTGTAGGGTCGGTCTCCAAATTCCTTAATAGGACACCCATAGCACAAAAGTTGATAACAAAAATCAACAAATGGGACTTACTTAAACTGAAAAGTTTTCTCTCAGCAAGAGAAACAATAAAAGAGGTAAATAGGGAGCCTACATCATGGGAACAAATTTTTACTCCTCACACTTCAGATAGAGCCCTAATATCCAGAGTATACAAAGAACTCAAAAAATTAAAAAATAAGAAAACAAATAACCCGATCAACAAATGGGCCAAAGACCTGAACAGACACTTCACAGAGGAGGACATACAATCAATCAACAAGTACATGAAAAAATGCTCACCATCTCTAGCAGTCAGAGAAATGCAAATCAAAACCACCCTAAGATACCATCTCACTCCAGTAAGATTGGCAGCCATTATGAAGTCAAACAACAACAAGTGCTGGAGAGGATGTGGGGAAAAGGGTACTCTTGTACATTGCTGGTGGGACTGCAAACTGGTGCGGCCAATCTGGAAAGCAGTATGGAGATTCCTGGGAAAGCTGGGAATGGAACCACCATTTGACCCAGCTATTGCCCTTCTTGGACTTTTCCCTGAAGACCTTAAAAGAGCGTACTACAGGGATACTGCTACATCGATGTTCATAGCAGCACAATTCACAATTGCTAGACTGTGGAACCAACCCAGATGCCCTTCAATAGATGAATGGATAAAAAAAATGTGGCATTTATACACCATGGAGTATTACACAGCACTAAAAAATGACAAAATCATGGAATTTGCAGGGAAATGGATGGCACTAGAGCAGATTATGCTTAGTGAAGCTAGCCAATCCCTAAAAAACAAATACCAAATGTCTTCTTTGATATAATGAGAGCAACTAAGAACAGAGCAGGGAGGAAGAGCAGGAAGAAAAGATTAACATTAGACAGATACATGAGGTGGGATGGAAAGGGAGAGAAAAGAGAAATTGCATGGTAATGGAGGGAGACCCTCATTGTTATACAAAATTACATATAAGAGGTTGTGAGTGGAATGGGAAAATAAACAAGGAGAGATATGAATTACAGTGGATGGGGTAGAGAGAGAAGATGGGAGGGGAGGGAGGGGGGATGGTAGAGGATAGGAAAGGTAGCAGAATACAACAGTTACTAATAGGGCATTATGTAAAAATGTGGATGTGTAACCGATGTGATTCTGCAATCTGTATTTGGGGTAAAATTGGGAGTTCATAACCAACTTGAATCTAATGTATGAAATATGATATGTCAAGAGCTTTATAATGTTTTGAACAACCAATAAAAAAAATTTAAAAATAAAATAAAATAAAATAAATTACAATCTAAACATGCAGCTAAAATTTAAGCTTAATTTAAATGCATATTTGGGAAAATATAAGTTAAGTTATTATTAGAGGTATTTATTTAATTTTGATAGAATACTCTCTTTAAAAAAAGTGGTCTAGTAGTTTACATAAATCTATACATTTGTCAGCAGAACCACACTTAGATGTGCCACCAGAGAAAGGTCAAAAAAGTCTTGATGGTAAAGAGAAGAAAAAGGCAAAGGTATGTAAACCTGTGACTTTAAATTCCTTGTTTCCTATAGTGTTCCTTGCTTTGATAATGAAGAGTTGGCTAAATGAAATTAGTTTTCAGAAGAGCCTTAGAATCTGATACTTAAGTCTGAACTTAAGCATTTAATTGGTTATGAATTTACAAATACTATAAGAAACCATTATAATAGAAAGTTTTATTTCTGATGGTTACTGTGCTTCCTTTTGGATAATCTCCTTATATTATCAATGAAATAACATTAAATATAAAACTTATTAACAACGGTTGAAATTTTGAACAAATATAACAGCCACGGTCACTGAGCACTACCATGTGAAAGGCTTTTAATTCCCAGTGACTCAATGATTTCATTGAACCTTGACTTTAGTGTCAGTGTCAAGGTAGGGCAGAGGCTCCTTATAGAAACACAACTTCCATCATGGATATTACATTCCAGATTGGACTTTGCTGTTAGGGAACTTATAATAACTTCCCAGCTCATTTCCTTTCCATGTAGAAAATCAGTAATAATTATGAAGGAGTCTACTTCAACCTCTTAGTGAATGGAAGTATACCATGTAGTTTGGGGGCAACTCTGAAATTTTTTAGGTATGTTATTGCCCTGTTTTCTCTCATAAGCTGTATTGCTATGATGAGGTTTGTGTATGAATTTGGATTGATTTCTCTTCCAAGATATATGTTGGGTCATTTTACTGAAGCAATTTCTCTGTGGAGAAATTGACCTTGGCAGGGGTTATATCATCTCAGTGTCAGAGCCCCACTGAGATTGACCAAAGTGCTAGGTTTACCCATCAACATCTGTTCAAAGTAGAGAATAATTACCAGCAACAACTACAACTTAGAAAAAAAATCAACTACCAATGAAATACTTTACAAAATGATCTCCATGCCTCAAGTAACAGAAGAGAAAAACTATTTTAGATTTCAATGTGCTGATGCAATTCACATAAATGTGTCTCTGCCTAGGAATTATAATTTTAGAATCCAATAACTTTAGGGGATTCTTGTAAGGAAATGTAGTTCTGCTTGTTCTCCTGAGCTCAAGTCCAGATAGAACAATCCTGGTGGTGAAGTATGAAGACAGATCTCTCTCACTCTCAAGGGGTGCTGAGGGAAAGTTTTCATTTACAGAGGAATAGTCATACTTGTTTTATACCCAGGGATGTGAGTCTGGGAAAAACTGGAACTGCCTGAAAAACCCTGCCACAACACGGATCCTGGGGACTGATCTGTATTGCAATCGCCACTTCTGGAATCCTTTTAGCAAATGTGCTCAGGAGTATGCAATTCTCAAGTCCCTGTAGGATTTCCTCCCTCTCTCTCTCTGATTAGGACAAAGTTGGCTTCCTTGCACATCTGTGCTTGGGTAGCGTACTGCAGGAATGAAGCTTTCCACCAGACCCTGTCTCAGCACTCTTGGAATCTTCTCCCTCTTGAAAGCACAGAAAGCTGTTTTCCCTGTCACTAAACTGAAAGCACCAATTTGCAATGGGCCGTGGCCCAACTGCTCTGCACTCCATAGACTGGCCAAATAGCTTACCAAAACTCTTACTGTCCTTACACCCCAGTCATTCTCTCTTCTAATGTCATAGAGATGGCCGCTTTGTGTTGGAGATGCAAGTGTTCTTGACCTCTGACACAGACAGACTCAGCTAAAGAGCATTTCTAACTAGGTTTCCCTCTCTGGGATCCATCAGAGACCCCAAGGACATCCCTGAACCAATGTCAGTGGTGGAAATGAGGGCAATCCCCCCAGGTGCCTCTGAAATTTAAGTATGTCCATAATTGGGATATCTGCTCACCTGTGTGAACAGTGATTCTTACCAGACGATGGTCTATCCATAGCTACAAACATCACATTGAAATGAAAGTCCGTCTTTATTTTCCTTGGGTAGACTATAGGTGCATTTCTTCAGCTGCTCAGAGCTCCCAGCACATGTGCACCTTAGGTTTCTCTCCTATAACCCAGCATGACTCTTGTGAATACCTCATGACACAGTGAATTAATGTCAGAGTTGAGCCTTGAAGTCAAAATAAAAAGTTTGTGATTTCTGATCTCTCATGAAGAAATCTGAGAATAGGAGCCCTAGTGAATGAAGTCTCCCAGGCAGGCACTCTGAGAAGCTGCAGGAAAGAATCCCAGTACACTTATCTTCCCTTGACACATCAGGCAGAATCCAAGTCTCTCCTTTGCTGAAAATGATTGGTTGACTGTACTGGACTTCGCTTTGGTTAGGATTGCTGGGATTCTCCCATTGAGATCACCAGAGTGCAGCTTTCCTCTTCAACTCAGCCAGGTTTTGCCTGGCACTGCTGCAGTCCATTTGTCTTAGGAATGCCTTTGTTATTCACTGGTTCCCTCTAATTGCACTCTGGTTATCCCATAGCCACACTATATCTTGGCATAGCTGCACACCACTCAGGTATCAGTCAGTTTTGTGTCTGTCTGTGTACCTCTTTCCTTCCTTGGGGAACTTTTTTTAAAAATATTTTTTAGTTTTAGATGGACACAATACCTTTATTTTATTTATTTATTTATTTTTACATGGTACTGAGAATCTAACCCAGTACCTCACATGTGCCAGGCAAGTGCTCTATCACTGAGCCACAACCCCAGACCTCCTTGGTAAATGTTTTGTTGTTCTTCCTTAACTGGAAATCATTTCATGCTCAACCTGATGGTTATGCACTGTTGGTTAAAGGGAATAGATAGAAACCTATTTCTTAGTACTATGCCATTTTTTCAAATAATTTTTTATCAGGAAAAATTTTAACAAAAGATAATTAGACTTTGTAAATTCTTGCTGATCTAAAAGAAGCAACATCAATACTATATTATTTCTTTTTAATATGACATAATCCAGACTCTTTTATCAAAACCAGTTTCTTATTCATACACTAAAATAAGTCAGTCACTGGAATGAATTCAATATCCAATGCTGAATAACAGCATGTGTATTTGTAAGAATTTTTTTAAAATCAGTTTTTATTAAATATCCTCTTTTGGTGGGAAATGAAGTGTTGGATCAGGTACACTGAAGTTTGTTCCTTGTGGGAATATGCACATCATCTATTGTTTTGTCAGTAAATATGTCTCTTTGTGCTTCGTTTTGGTTTTACAGTGTCAGTTTCCATATGGAGATAAAAGTGCAGCTTAATCTGGAGAGTGTATATGAGGTTCTGGTTTGAAATATTTCGATTTTCATTAGGCACTTGTCTAATTTTTACTCATTGATCTCAAAACTATAAATTTCGATGTCTTATTAGATTGTGATTAGAAATCTTTATGCCACTCATTATTGATATTCACTTTACCAGGGTTGTTTTGGGAGGCTTCTGAAGATGTTTCATATTCATTCATCTGAAAATGATGATGATGCAAATCAAAGAGAAAAACACAAAGTAAAAGAACATATAGAAGGTAAGAATTATATATGAAAATAATTCATGATATGAGATGTTTATTTTCAACCTGACCACCAGTATATTCTAATAGTTGAATAAATGTACTATTGAAATTGTATTGAGGAAAAAAACAGAAGTTAAGTTTTATAGCATCAATTTGCCTGGCAGGTAGGAGGGTTTTCGATACTTTCACTGTCTCTTACTGTTGCAAACCCATTGAATTGATTCTGATCACACAGAGCACTGTTTTGTTTACCATAACTACATATAAACCCATATAGTCCGCTATGTATGTATATGATTTAACATCATCATCTAAAATGTTACTACTTCCTAGGACAGAAAATAGCAGAGAGAAACAAAATGCGAAAGAGAAAAAACAGATTGCTTTTTGGGTGAATGCAAAGTCGTCATTTGTTCAGATGTCTACTGAAAAGTGTGATTTGTATACAGCTTACAACAGGGATGTGAACAGGAGGAGTCTGGGGCTAACTCCAAATAGGAAGTTGAGGTAGAGAACTTAGAAATGAATCAGTATAGCCCAAGAATCTCAACATTTGATGAGTCATCAGTCATTCTAATGTCCAGAATGCACATTCAAATTCAGCAGTTCTTTGATTCTACCTTTCTAATAAAATCAAAGGTGATTCCAATGTTCCTGCTCCCTAGACCACATACTGGGTAGCAAGGGAACAAACCTCTCTATAGAAAAAGTATTGAGAGAAATGTCAGTGAAGACCATTGGATCATAGTTCAGGCTATAACTAGATCATAGGGAAACATCACTCTTGTTTATAATTTGAGTATGTCTCTTGACAGGTAAGAAGGAAGCAGAAATTAAGAAACTGAGAGGATGAATTTCATTTGGCTTCAGTATATTTGCATCAGTAAAAAATGATATTTTCTTGATCCTGAGTTTATTGGAAGATGTAGGGCTGCTAATATTGTGTAATCTACAGCTACTCATTTCTCCTCTCCTTAACAACAACCAGGCATTGGGAATGGGTGTTGCATCATGTATTTGTTCACATGAGATATATATCATTTTAGAAACTTTGGTTATCTTAGTAAAAAATGAGATTTTCTTGGTCCTGAGTTTATTGGAAGATGTAGGGCTGCTAATATTGTGTAATCTACAGCTACTCATTTCTCCTATCCTTAACAACAACCAGGCATTGGGAATGGGTGTTGCATCATGTATTTGTTCACCTGAGATATATATCATTTTAGAAACTTTGGATATCTTATTAAAGTTTCTAAAATTTTTTCATTTAGGGGAGTGATGGTACTATGAATTGACCCCATGGTCTTGGGCCTGCTATGGTTATACTCTTTTGTGAGTGACAGTCTCATTCTTAGATAGCTAATTTTCTGATAAGATCCTTTAAAGACTAACATGATATATCAAAAGAGTTTAGTTTTTTAAGCAGAAGACTTTGTAGAGTTAATTCCTTGAACACAATAATTTTTATTTTAAATATAATTATTTTGAATTATAATTGTTCTTGATATGTGATAACTCTGACACATGCTTTCTTCTTTGTGATTACCACATTTTAGTAATTTTTTTACTTTTATTTTTTTATTATTAGTTGTTCAAAACATTACAAAGCTATTGACATATCATATTTTATACATTTGATTCAAGCAGATTATGAACTCCCATTTTTACCCCGTATACATATTGCAGATTCACATCGGTTCCACATCCACTTTTTTACATACTGCCATACTAGTGTCTGTTGTATTCTGCTGCCCTTCCTATCCTCTACTATCCCCCCTCCCCTTCCCTCCCCTCTCCTCCCATCTTCTCTCTCTACCCCATCTACTGTAGTTCATTTCTCTCTCTTGTTTTTTCCCCTTTCCCCTCACTTCCTCTTATATGTAATTTTGTATAACAATGAGGGTCTCCTTCCTTTACCATGCAATTCCCCTTCTCTCTCTCTTTCCCTCCCCCCTCTTGTCCCTGTTTAATGGTGATCTTCTTCTCATGCTCTTCCTCCCTATTCTGTTCTTAGTTGCTCTCCTTAGCTTCCTATGTCTTCTCTCATGAGTGGATCAAGAAATGATAACATGGCTAAACCAGAGGAAATAAGAATTATCAGTGTACCTATGTCTCCCATAGGTATGGAAAAACAAGAATATTTTCATTAGCTGTCATTCTAAAAGTATGTCTGAGCTGACCAGTGCAGAGAACTTCTTTTAATGAGCAACAAATTGTACAATTATCTGGGCCCTTATGACAGCTTTGTACTATTAAACTTGTAGAAGAAATGGAGGGATATGACACACAAATATAATGTGATGGATTAAATATTTTTTAATTATATTAAAGATACACACTGTTACATTCTGAAATCAACTTTCACATTTAGCCTGTCAAGGTCCTGCTTTTGTCCTCTGATTAGAGGTCACATTTTTCTCCATCAGTCTGCATGTTTAGGATTGTAAACACACATTCCTAATTTATTTTGGTCATTGGAAACATAATCTCATTTTGGAAACATAACTACATATTCCTGGTGTTCTTCAGTACATTTTGGTCATGTGACTCTACCAACCACAAAAAGGAGACACACCCAAAAGTATAATAATCATTATCAAAGCTAAGCACAGTGATTCAGCTCCATACTAATTCAGCAGGAATGGATGAGTGGTTTTTGTCCTATTTTAATGGTTAATGATATATGTCCCTTTTGCTTTTCAGTGTCTCAAGAGAAATTTCCTAAGGTAAAAGTCATTTGATTTTTATTTGTATCTTGAATTAGTGATTGCACATGGTATGAAAAATGTAATATTTATTTTCTTTTCCAAATACATCCAGCCTACCACTACCATGAAAGATTCTTTTCCAAATGAAGCAGGAGGGATCAAGGCCATAAGGACACTCAAACCTGGTAAATTTCACAGTACAAATTCTCTAAAATGAATTATATTATATTAAAACTTGTGAATTAGTATGCTCTTCCTATTCCTAATTCTTTTTTCCCTTCATTTGAAATGATGATTTTGCACAATCATGGCCAGTGTCAATCTTGGCACCCATGATTAAAAGTATATATTAATAAGAAAGATTTTTAAGTTGTAACATTTATCTCAAATATTTCTGTTTTAAGCTCTGCTATTGGAGTCACTACACTTTTTAGGGCTTCACAGAGGTGGATTATTGGGCCATAATTTTTCCCCAATATTGAAATATTTTTACTGCAGTGAGGTAGGCAGTGAGACCTTGTATAATTCCAGCTTCTTATGAGATTGAGGCAGGATTTCAATGCCAGTCTGGGAAATAGGAAAACTCATTTCTTCAAATAATTCATTTTATTTCCATTATGACATCCAGCCTATTGAGAAATTGCACTGAAAATGTTGTATATTGTGTCACACTTTATGTGATGCCCACAACACTCATGTGATCAGGACTGCACTTAGAAAATCAAATATATTGTTTGATTTTCTATCTATTTAATTTTCTCAGACCTTTAGAATTGTATTGTATTTTATAGAGAACAATCATTCACGTCATTGAATAGTGACCACAAGTGATAAATTCAAAGTTACTTATGTGTACCACTGATGTTTTTCCTCTCATTTTTGTCACTATTCCTTTGTTTTGTTTTGTTTTATTTCTATGGTGGGGATTGAATCCCATTTATTTTTCAAACTAAACAGCTCTTTGCCACTAAGATTCACCACCAGTCTTCTATCCTTTTTTTTAATTGGCTGGTTTTATTTTTTCATAAATTAGGATTCATTTGGACATAATTATGAAATTATGGAATATTTGTTGCTCTAGTTCGGATCCCAGTATTTGACTTTTCCTTCTTGACTTTCTTCCCCTGTTACTAGGTCTTCTTTTTCCCCTCTATTCTATTATTTTGTGTATTTGTGTTTATCTTGTCTATTTATTTATTTGTGGTACTAGGGATTGCCACATTCCCAGCATTTTTTATTTTTTATTTTGAGACAGGATCTCACTAGGTTGCTTATACTCTCACTAAGTTGCTCAGGCTGGTTTCAAAAGTGCCATCCTTCCACTTCCTATTCCTGAGCCATTGGGATGACAGGCATGCACTAACACACCTGATTATGTTTGTTTGTTTGTTTGTTTGTTTGTATTAGAGTCTTGCGAATATACATAATGGAGAGATTCCCTGTGGTATATTCATATATGGATGTGAGAAACTTATGTCAGATTCATTCTGCTTTTCTTCCCTTATCCTATCTCTTCTCCCTTACCCCTAGCCCCCTTCATCTAATCCATGGGTCTTTCTTCTACTTTAATGGAATCCTCCTCCCCCCCCCCCACACACACACCTTTTTCCTTTCTTTCTCACTTTCCCTTTTTTTCCCTATTATTTTGGACTAGCTTTCACATGTCAGAGAAAACTTTTGACCTTTGACTTTTCAAACCTAGTTTATTTCACCTAACATGATAGTCTCCAGTTCCGTCCACTTACCAGAAAATGCCATAATTTTGTTGTTCTTTATGGCTTACTAATACTCTGTTATGTTTAGTTACTACATTTTCTTTAGGAATAACCCAATCAGCTAATGGGCAAAAGATCTAAACATATACTTCTCAAATGAAGACATTTAAGTGGCCAACAAATATATGAACACATGCTCAACATCTCTAGCAATAAGGGAGATGCAAGTCAAAATTACACTGAGATTTCATCTCACTTCTGTTAAAATTGACATCATCAAGCATACAAATAATAATAAGTTTGGGGAAGAATATGTGGGGGGGAGGTACACTCAAACACTGTTGTTGGAATTGCAAATTAGCACAGCCTCTCATGAAACTATGAAGGTTTCTCAAAAAACACTATGAATGGCATATGATCCAGCTTCCCACACTTTGGAATATATCCAAAAGATCTAAATTCAGCACACCATAGGGAAATAGGCTCACAGTATAATAGCCAAGTTTGTAATAGCCAAGCTATGGGGAATAAACCAAGGTAACCTTCAAGAGATGAATGTTAAGGAAATGTGATATATATACACAACTGGGGAGCACTGGGCTGGCTTCCTGTGTTCACAAAACCTCATCCACCAGGACCCCAAGACTGCTGGAGTGGAGCATGTGTCCCTCCCTCTTTGGGGATGAGCTGACTCCATGAGTCACCACCACAAAAGGACTTCTAGGCCTGGCCACTGATGGGGTTCATCCTGAGAAGCCATTCAGAGCCAGGGGATCACAACACAAATGTAGCCTGCTCCCTGGGCTTGTGGGGTATGCACACAACACAATGTCACCATAATAAGGGAACCCTGGGCCAGGTCAAAGGGCATTTCATTCCCAGCTCTATTAATAGTCATGAGTAGAGTCTCATTTTCCACAGACTTTGATTTGTACTTTTAATAATTTAGTGAAACATAATCTTCCTGGGGGCTGAAAATGTAGGATCCTGTGTGATCCTGAGGATGTTCCCTCCATTTAGGCCCCTGTCATCTTTATTTTGCTCTATTGTCTTATACTCCCTCCATTTATGCTTATACCCCTCATTTCCATCCTGCCCACAACATTAGAGTGATTTTGTTTTGATGCATGTATACCTATGAACCACCACTCTTGAGAATACTCATGTCAATCACCTTAAACTCACCTAGAAAACATTGATAGAATGAGTTCTGTTCAACTATTTTTATCCTTTTCTTCATTTTTCCCTGTCCTCTGCCATTCCTCCTCACAATCCCAATATTTTTGACAAACACAGACCCTACTTAAGAGGTGCCACCCTCTCTTGTAACGGCTTTCATGTTCTCTTCCTTTATTTCTCTCTGGCTAGTATGCTTTAACTCTCAGCTTAGGACTAATTCAAGCAAAATCATCCCCCACACCATTTATCTACATTAGCACTTACCAGGGACTCAAAATATAATTATGGGGTCAAAGAAATAAAGACTGGGTACACAAAGATGACTAAAAAGATTTTCTCCTGTTCACAAGTAAAAGAAATTTACATGTAGAGAAATAATTTACAATTTAAGCCATAAAGGTGTAGAAACACGCTGAAGTGTGCCCTAAGGAAAGAAACTTTTATTTATTTATTTTTATTAAGACACCAACAGCCCAAATCAAGGAACAATTCAGAGAACACCACATCTTTAGAGTAGAAAAGAAATTTGTCAGAAGTGTGGACAAACAAAAGGGGCAGAGTGTTCATTGTAAAGGAGTAAAGTAACAGGAACTTTGGAAACCATTAAAGATGCACAGGGCCTGATTGAAACTTACTATTAGGAAGTAGAGAATAATGTAGTGTGTGGATTTTTATGTTTCTATGGTATTGAAAAGTTGTTTTCTTTTTTCTGAGGATTTGTCATTTTATGTTCAGTGGGTGAATTTGTAGATGAATTTTTGGGGTATTTGTTTGCATTGAAGCTAACAACATCCAATTCTCCCCAAGTGGTTTGTTTGGGTCAGTAGAAGTATTTTCTAAAGAAGTCAGCAGAACATACCTGTATAGCCTAGGTGTTCAGGTGGCTGAGGCTTGGTGGACAATTGGTGTCAGGCTATTCTGGGCACCTTAATGAGACCCCATCTCAAAAGAAAATCAAAATTACTCTCAGCAGTTGAGAGTGTGCTAAGAATGCAGTGGAATAAATGTGACATAGTTTTCCTGTGCATATATGTGAAAACACCATGGTGAATCTCACCATTGTGTACATCCACAAAAATGGCATCCTGATTAGAATAAGATATAGCCCATATGATTATATAATAATACTAAAATCAATTTGCCTGTCAAAAAAAAGTATGCACAAGTCATTGATTTTAGTACAAAGCACCACATTATAAATAATAATTATGCAGGTAATGTTTAAATTCAATTTCTAATTGATAAAATAAATGTTATTGTTATTATTAGTACTAGGCATTTTCATTTTACTCTATGATTGTTCTTCTAACTATTTAAAGTAGTGTAAATAGACTAATACATTTGTTGGCAGAACCATCTTTAATAGTGAAAACAGAAGAAAAGAAAAGCGTGCTTGATGACCCTGAAAATAAGCAGCCAAAGGTATGCAATCATGTAAACTTCAAACCAATTTTTCATGCTATTTTCCTTGCTTCAACAATTTAGATGAATCCAAATGAAATTGTCTTTCAGAATAGTCTTTTAGTATCCTAAGGTGAATGAAAACTCTAGAATATTAAAAAAAGAAATTGATTCTTAAGTTAGCCATACTGTCAAAAATTCAATACAATTCAATGTGATACCAATCAAAACACCAATCATGTTTTTCACAGAATTAGAAAAAACAGTTCTAAAATTCATTTGGAAGAAAAAAGGACTCAAAATGGCCAAAGCAATTCCAAGTTAAAAAAGCAATGCTGGAGGCATCACAATACCTGACTTCAAATTACACTACAGAGCTATAGTTAACAAAAAATAATCATATTGGCATAAAAAAGACACATAGATGAATGGTACAGAAGAGAAGACACAGATAAACCCACACCCATGCAGGCATCTGATCCTGCATCTCAGAGGTTGTAAATTACTACAACCTCTGAGAAAAGACAGCCTTTTAAACAAAAGGTGCTGGGAAAATTGTTTTTCCAAGCTTAGAAGAATGTGACTAGAAACTTGTCTCACAGCCTCTCCCCCAGATCAACTCAATAGTGGATCAAAGACCTAGGAATTAGAACAAAACCTATGTAACTTCTGAAAGAAAACATCAGGTCAACACTCCAAGATTTAGGCACAGGCAACTGCTTTCTCACTAGGACCCCTAAAGCTCATAAAATAATGCCCAGAATTAATCAAGGGGATGGCCTCAAATTAAAAAGATTCTGCACAGCAAAGAAAACAATGAGGAATGTGAAAGAAAACCTACAGAATGGGAGAAAATCTTTGCTAGCTACTCTTCTGACAGAGGATTAATACCTAGAATATAGAAAAAAAAAACTCAAAAAGAATTTACTCCACAAAATTAGAAGAGCCCAATTAATAAATGGCCAATGAATTAAACAGACACTTCTCAAAAGAAGAAATAAAATGGCTGACAAATATATGAACAAATGTCCAACATAGTAATAAGGGAAATGCAAATCAAAACTACACTGAGATTTTATTTCATACCAGTCAGAATGGCAGCTGTCAATAATATAAATAATAATAAGTGCTGGAGAGGATGTGGAGAAAAGGAACACTTTATTTTTTTTTGGGGGGGGGATTGTAAATTACTACAATCTTTATAAAATCAGTATGGAAGCTTCTCCAAAGAATAGGAATATAATCACCACATAACAAAGCTATACCATTCCTAGGTTTATGTCCTAAAGGAACCAAAATATCATACTGTACTGATGAGCACAAGTCGCAATGGTTCACACTTTGGAAACAGCATAGCTATCTGCCACACACACATACTACAAAAATTAATTATGTATGGAGGCTCTTCAAAAGACTAGGCCTGGAGCCACCATGTGACACTGCTATACTACTCCTCGGTATTTTTTCTAAAGAATTAAAATCACCACACTACAGTGATGCATACATGCCATGTTTATAGCAACACAATTCATAATAATCAAAGTATGGAACCAGCCTAGGTTTCCATCAGTGGATGAATGGGTGAAGAGAATGTGGTGCACATACACAATGGCATTTGATTCAGCCATAAAGACAAATAAAATCATGTCATTTGCAGGAAAATTAACAAGCTAGTGACCATTATGTTAAGTGAAATAAGTTACTCTCAGAAAATCAAGGGGTATATTTTTGCTCTCATGTATGAAAGCTAGAGAGAAAAAAGGAAAAGAAAAGTGAGGGGAAAATCTCATGGAAATTAAAGAAAGATCCTTAGAGGAAAAAGGTAGGTGAGGAGGGAGAGGAGAAGTGCTGGGGAGCAATACTGATCAAATTATATTGTTATATTTGACATATGTATGATTGTGTAACAAATCCCATCATTATATACAACTATAGTACACCAATAAAAAGTGTGGGGGAAAAATCAAAGTGGAAGAGACTTTCCAATTTCCCATGTATACATTAGTTTTACTCCCACGTAGATAATGGGGCTAATTGCTAATATATCCTGCTATAGTTATGGAAAGTGAAATCTGTATTTGAGTGAGCTCCTTCACTCTTGATATCCCAGGATCCAAATGAGAAAAGAACATCCAATGACAATGAGGGAGAAAGTGCTCAATGCAACAAGGGGAAATCTTCCTACTGTTACTGAGGCCAAGAATGCCACATCCCTAATCCTGGCTGTTTAATATAAAATCCAAGGAGTAAATATTGAACAGAGCACATCTTGTGTCAACTTTTATTAATTTCTTCCAGTCATGTAGGGTATGCAAATATTAGGTAGCAAAGAGTGGACAGAATGAAGAATTGTTCTTTTTGTAGTTTTGAAAAAAGTTGTTTGTTCAACTCAAACAGAAATGACAAAAATTCAATGATGTTGTATAAAATTAAAAACCAAAAAGATTATTAAGAACTAATGTCATGACGACCAAACTAAATTGATTAATGAAATCAGTGATGAGAACAAAATCTTAATTCTTCTTACTAAAAAGTAACTATTATCCTTGGTCTTTCATTAAAGGTGGAAATAACAAGGAAGAAGTATAAAATTAATCAGATGGAAGTGTCACAAATCCTGCATCATAGTGAGGAGGACACTGATAACAATGGTGATGAATTCATTGAACAAAGAAAGAACAGAAATGCTGATCACCAAAGGTATTTTCTTAAGAAAAATGAAGAACATGATGGGTAAGGCAAATACTCCCAGTAGTAATTAAGCCATTAGATGCCATTTTTCATATATATATTGACACATTTATTTTAAAATGATAACCAAGTTTGGCAATTATGAGGGTAAATACATTCTTCTGTCCTGTTGATAAATGAAATTTGTCAGTACTTTTGCAAGGGTGATTTATTTACATGCACCAAAATTTCAAATATTATTCCATAAATCTACCAGCTTCACTTCTGTTACTTATCTTTCTGGAACAAGAAAACATGATTTACCAATGTACATGAACACATTTGTTGAAGATATGAATTCTATATCATACAAAATGTACAAAGGTGAATGTATCTGATATATGCAACGTGTCCATTGAAGACATGCAATGCATATGCTGAGAACATTTATGGAAACAGTATATATTAAATGTGTATTAAGAGCATTCAGTGTGGCATTGTCATATCAAATAGGGGTTAGTTTAAATTGTCTTCAATAATGAAACAGTTAAATTGTCATATCTATAAAATAATGAACCATAAAGCACTTAAAATGAGACTAGCTCTCTAGTGTACTGTTTATTTCACAAGTAAAGTATATTTAAGGCAGTTATTTTAATGACACTTCTTAATCCTAATTTTGTTTTTGTACTCACTTTGAGTTACAAAAAGAAGCTGCCTGCTGCACTGGCACTCTGCCTTGTTACAGTAGTGCTACTCACCAGTAGATTTGGGGTACCTGTTCCCAATGCCCAAGTGCTCAAATAATGAATCATCAGATTAATCTGAATATTGTGAATGCATTGCACATGGGGGTCAATGTTTCATCAATACTTTATTATATTGGGTAAAATCTATTAAAACTTCTATCAAATCTTCAATATACTGAAGTAGGAGTTGGCAAACTTTTTCTGCAAAGAGACAGTAAATATTTTAGTCTTCGTGGACAAGAGCATCTTTGTGACTATAGTCTGAAACACATTATAGTCACATCTGGATGGGTATGGAGTGCATTTCACTAATTTTTTTTTAATAAGAGAATGGAAATATGTCTATGGGAAGTATTTGTTCAGCATGCCCTTGACTCTGGGTTTTATTCCCAGCACCACAAAAACAAAAACAAAACAACAGAACTTTCTTTAGAAAAATATGCAAAATGATGGATTGGGCCCACAGGCACTAATTTGTTGACTTTTGTGCTAAATTCAAGATTAGCTAATGAAGTGAATCTTCCTTGTAAAGGTCAATTGCATCTATGCCATTATCTTTTTTAAAGATAATATATTGGAGCATGCATCCCACCACATTTTTCAACAGAGACTTAACATACAACTTAAAATGTTTGAGTTTATACATTAAATTTTGCTATCTTTTTATTACTTATATTTTATTACTTTATATTAAATATGTATAATATACATAATAACTTTGTATTTGCATACTACAAAATATCCTAGAAATAGATTTGCTTTAAGCAAGAATTAGTGCCCTTGAAATATTTTGTCTTTTTCTGTGGTGATTATCTATCTGTATGAGCAAATGGTAATCAGCTTATATAATATATTTCTAAAATATATTAAGGGTTATTTTAGTTTAGTTTATAGTTTTATGAACTAATGATTTAATAACAGTGTGTTTTGATGGCACATACGTAAATGAAAAAAATTAATGAGTCACAAACATACTATGAAATCATTATGTGAGGATTGAAAAATGCACTTAAATTAAATAGTTCATAGCCAACTATGCCACCTAGCTAGTAGGTTATAGAAAGAAGTATCTGAACTCACTGAGCTACTTTCCTTTTCCCTTTGTTTATTTTTTTCTATATTATTTGTTCTCTGTAATTCCAGGAATAGAGCCCAGGACTTTGAGCATACTAGGCAAGCCCTCTACCGTTGTGCTACATCCCCAGACCTCCATTCGTGTTTGAACTCCAATATTTTCACCCAGCCTTTCCTCCAAAATTGTTTTTCCCAATTTTCCCTCCAATTTTCACTTGCATATATCTAGAAACAATTTCTTCCATACAATCTTATTTACCCTATTAGCAATATTGGACCCCTTGGAAACCTCCTCTAGCACACTTTTTTCACCTTTCAGGATGTGACTCATCCCCCTGGGTTTTCTCCCACCTTTTGTGACCCTCCAGCCTAGTCTGTTTATTTGTTTCTCTAAATACTCAGCTAATGGGTCTCCTTGTCTCTTTGTAAATCCTCTTTCCATTGATTCTTATCACAGTGGACTAGTTAGACCAAGTTAGATTGTGATTTCTCTGCTCACAGCATTTTAGAGGCCCCCATTTCACTTGGAATCCATGTAAAAACTCTTCCTAATATGTACCAGATATGTCATTCTTATCACCACAACAAGCCCACTGCCATCTTCTGCAGTATCTTTGACTAGGACAGATAGGATTGAGCCAGGACGGGTGCCGCCCACCATCAGGTCATCCAGGCATGGAGAGAGGCGGGTGCTTGGTCCCTCACATCCTGGGTGAGCCAGTGGGAAGTCGCTGTGGGAGCTCCAGGTGTCTGCCAGGTAGAGACAGAGGCTTGTCCCAATGGGGCCCCCAGCATCCTCTGTCTTGGTGCCTGAGGAGCCCAGAGGGCTCAGGAGCTTACTGGGCTCCACTTCTCATCATGCTCTCAGTCAGTCAATACTTCTTGTGTAAAGAAGAGAGAATAATGTAGTTTAGGACAAAGAAAGGGAATGCTCTGAATATCAGTGCTGCTAACAGTTTGACAAAGATGAAAACAAGTGACTTTAACATGGAATAGTTTCAATACATAGTCACCATGAAACCCGGACTTCAAATGATAATTGTAGGAAACTCCTTAGATAATTTTTCTAGAAAAAAATGGAAAAGTGAACAATGACTAAAGAAGAAGTCGAATTAGAGAGTTAAAAAAAATTACAAGATTTCAATGTATTTCATATGCCCTTAGAAATGATTCATTAGAGGACAGGCTTATTCAGTTAACTGAGTTTGCATATCCAATATTAGAAAGCTTCATAGGGTTCCATTGAAGATTTATAGTAAATTGTCTTACAAATATCTATGAATTATCTATACAATTCAACTATAAAATTGTAAATTCTAATGGTCCTTAGAATTTCTATTTACTTGTACATTTTCTATAATAAGGGTGGTTATTCATTGAGTTTTGGTTCAATATTGGATATCCTAATGTAATTGAACATGCAAATGATGACCCAAAATTTCAACTATCATAGAGTTTTAAAAACTTATGTAGTAGAAAACATCCAAATATAGATATATAGGAAATATAGGTCATACTCAAGAAAGTGTAATCATGCCTTCTGCCTTGACAGTATCATCAGGCATTGCTATGATTTTTTATAGTACTCTAAAATATCATGGGTATCAAAATAGTAAGTACTTAGAATCTGTGTGCTGTGTTTGTGTACAATACAAAAGTAAAATATTGACCAAAGAGTTCAGATTATTCCTTTTGGATTATGAAGTTTTAAAGTATCAGAACCTTGTTTCCCTGTTCCAACAACACAATTGAATGTGCATTATGTGCTCTCTTGGTTGCATGCTTGAGTAAATCATTGAATAGATGAATGATGCATGATGCATGATGATGAATTTGATGAAGAAAAAATAAACCTTTAATTTATTGAAACTAGATTTCCAAAATTGCCAAGGTATATAGTCATTTTATTTATATAGATAATATAGATTATCTATATGATATATATGTGATAATATAGATTGTCTTTTATTATTTCTTTCAAACACTTGATGAGGAATATTGCTTTCATAATTTTCCACTAACCAGATGCATGGATTTGGGGAAGTTATTTGGCCTTTCTTTGACTAGTTTCTTTTTTATAAAATACCTAATGTTATCTACCTCAGAGAATTGTTGGGAGAATGAGAATTATACCAAGTTTGGCTTATGTACATTGCTTAGAATTATGTACAGTCATTTCACTGTATGTCCTGAAATAAGAACCTATAATTTTTGCAACAGGGTTCCCCTCCTACAAGGATTTAAATCATCTTTTACAAATGGGGTTTAGTAAGTTATATGAGTTTTATTTTTTTGAAAATGACAATAACAAAACACTATCACATTTCTATCAAATAAGGCAAGTGCTATTATTCATTTTGCTTTTACTGTCAGAAGGTGTGATCTAAATTTAATTATTTGTTTTGAGACTATTAGTAGTAGTGTTCTTGATTTACTAATGCTGTTCTTTTTGTTTACACTTGAATACCCATTGTGGAAACTGATCATAAAATTTATGGGTACATGAAGTAAATTAAAAATATAGAGATTTTGTGTATTAAAAAAATAATAGTCTTATTGCATTTTACATATTTGGTGTTTGAAAGAATATTATGTGTTTCATTCTTTCTTTTTCTCATTTAGGCACACAGAGAAAACATCTAATGAAAAGAGCAAGGTATTGTTACAAATAACACGAGATAATATTTTATTGATAAAGTGCATTATTAAGTGATACAATATGAAAATATAAATTAAAAATATATTGTAAAAGATAAAGTGAAAGAATAGAACATTTTTTTGTTATGTACAGACTTTGAAAATGAGTGAGACAAAATAAACTTTGATAAAGGTTTTCTTTTGTCAGAAATCAGTTCTTTGAAAAACTACATGTGGTAGATAATTGTCACCTGTATGTATTGAGTATATGTTATATGTATTTGGTGTAAATTTTGATATTGGATTATTGTTTTATAGGTCAAAAAAGAAATAAATGCTATGGAAGACCTTGATGAACCACAGCCAACTGTAATAGCCTCAACAGCTTTTCAAGTGACGGGCCCTAATTATAAGGATATTTGGGCATATGTTGAAAAACCAAGCAGGTCATATGAAGGTAGAACCTTTGCATAATGATGTATACTATAGTAATAGATGCACACATTACTTAGCACTGAACCATAGAACACTGATGTGTTCCAGTATTGTTCATTTCAGAAAGGGGATGGCGCCTGGCATTTTGCCAGAGGGAGTGGTTTGTGAAGTAATGCCAGAGAGCCATTAAGTGTGGCGATTCCTTATTGGTTGACTGCTGTATCGAGTTTATGTTAATTAGATAAGCTGTGTGGAATGTATATATACCACTCCTTTCCTACAATAAACGGCTCCCACTCCTGCTGTAAAAAAAAAAAAAATATATATATATATATATATATATATATATATATATATATAAAATGAGAAGTGTGATACACTCTCAAGTACACCCCTGGATCATCCCCACTGCACTTTTCTTTGTGAATGGCACCCCACTCCTTTTTTGGCTCCGTTGTTCCCTGGTGCCTGGAGGATGATCAGATCAGCTTACCATTATCTCTCCCTGAGTTCTGTAGTAACCTTAGATCTCCTTTCCCTGCTACACACTTCCTAAAACTGTGTTCTTCTCTGCAACCAAATCATACTTTTTAAAAATTCAGTTCTGATATTGCTTACCCCTTTCTTAAAACCCAAGTACTACTTCTCTTTGCTATAAGATTAAAGACCTCAAGCCTCTAGCTTTCTCCTGTGTCTGGATCCCAATCACTAAAGTGTTTCCTCTTACAATACAGATTTTTGTTTTCAAAAGATTTAATGAGGCATTATTGACATAAGGTAAACTGCACATATAAAAATGTGCAACTTGACAAGTTTTGACCTATATATTAAACACATGTTGAATCACCATAATCCAGATAGTTAAGAAATCCTGTAAAAGTCTTCACATGTCCCTTTATATGCCCTTAATAAGATACTGCCAAATTATTTTTCAACATATTTGTACCATTTCCATGCTCATCAACATGGATTAGTGGGGTGGTAATCATAGTCAAGTAGGGTGTGCTTGGAGAAGGTAGGTCACTTGGGGACTCCCTGTTGAGTGGCGCTCTCACCGCTTCCTGGTGGGTGGCCATGTTCTGAACTACTTTCCTTTACCAAGTCTTTCTGCCATGATGTTCTGCCTCACCTTGGGCCCAGAGCTGTGGAGTCAGCTGGGTATGGACTGTGACTTCTGAAACCCTGAGCTCCAAATGCATTTTCCCTTCTCTGCATTGTTCAGGTCACTTTGTGTCACAGTGAGAAAAGCTAAGTAAAACAATTCCCAGGCATTTTAATTTTTTTAATTTTAATGGGATAGTTTTCATGATTTCTTTCTTAGCAGAATTACGTTTCATGTACAGGAAAGCTGTTGATTAATGATTGTTGATCTTGTTACCAGTTCTAGAAGTCCTCTGGTGGAGTTTTTTGGGGTTTTCTAGATATAGGATGATGTCAATAGCAAAAAGATAATTTGAATTCTTCTTTTCCTATTAATAGCCCTGTAATGTCCTTCTCTTGCCTGATTTTCTGCCTTAGTTTCAAAAAGTATATAGAATAGGATTGATAAAATTAGACATAGTTTCTTTGATCCTGATTTTAGAGAAAATGCTTTCCATTTTTTTCTACAGTATAATGTTGGCTTTGGTTTTGTGATTTATGACCTTTATAATGTTGTAGTAAGTTTTCTCTATGCCTAGTTTCTCTAACATTTTTAATATGAATAGGTGCTAAATTTTATCAAAGCCTTTTCTGCATCTGTTGAGATATTCATATGATTCTTATCCTTCATTCTATTTATGTGACGAATTACATTTATTGATTTCCTATGTTGAACCAACCTTACATTCCTGGGATAAAAGCAAATTTTTCATGGTATGTTAACTTCTTGATGTGTTTTTGAATGTTGTTTGCTAATATTTCATTAAGAATTTTTACATGTATTTTCATCAGGGATATTGTTCTGTAATTTTCTTTCCTGAATATGTCAGGATTATACTGGCTCCAAAGATATTTGGGAGTATTCCCTTCCCCTTTAAGTTTTGTAGAAGAGGCTGACAAAGATTGGTGTTAGTTCTTCACTAAAGTTCTGTTAGAACTCAGCCAGGATTCTATCTGGTCCTGGGTTTTTCTTTGTTGGAAGGCTATTCATTGCTGTTTCAATTTAATTACTTTATATTGATCTGTTTTGGGTTCTGATGTCTTCCTGGTGTAATTTTGGCAGCTCATATATGTCTAGAAATTTGTCAAGGTTTCTAGATCTTCCAGTTTATTACAGTACAAACTTTAAAAATAGTTCCTAATGATCCTCTGGGTTTCAGAAATATTGCTAATGGTATCTCATTTTTCATCTACAATTTTGTTGATTTGTCTCCTTTTTTTGTCAGTTTGGCTAATGGTTTATTGGCCTTATTTATCTTTTGAAAAAGCTGACTTTGTTTCATTGGTCCTATGTCTTTTTTATTCTCAATTAATCTTAGTCTAATCTTGATTATTTCCTATATGCTACTTACTTGGGAATTAGTTTGTTCTTCCTTTTCTAAGACCTTGAAAGTTGGAATATTAGATTATTTATTTGGAAACTTTCTATTTTGTTAGTGAAGGCACTCAGTACTATGAATTTTTTCAAAACCAACTTCATGATGTCCCAGAGATTTTGATATGTTGTATTTCTATTCTGATTTGTTTCCAAATATTTCTTTGTTTATTCTTTCTTTTCTTTTATAATCTACTCCTCTTTTAAAAGAGTATTTGTTCTATTTATGTGATTTCTCTTATTTTTCTTGCTATTGTTTCATTTCATTGTGATCTCATAGAATGCATAGAATTATATGAGGATTTTATATATTTGCAATGAATTACAAAGATTCATTGAAAGATTCCATGCACTTCTGGGAAGATAGTGAAATTCAGCTATTTTGTGGTGAAATATTCTGTAGTTATTAGGTACATTTCAATTATACTATTATTTATGTCAAAATGTCTATTTTTACCCTTGTATGTCCTATCTATTGGTGACAAAGATGTTTTGAAATTCCCTAGTGTTATTGGGGTCTATCTGATATTTAATGTCAAGAAGCATTATTTATTTATTTAGGTATATATGACAACAGAATGCATTTTAATTCATTGTACACAATCGAAGTATGACTTTTCATTTCTCTGGTTGTACATGATGTAGCATCGCAACATAGGTGCAGTCATACATGTACCTAGGGTGACGATGTCCATCTCATTATCCCATGCCCCCTCACCTTCCCTCCCTCCCATTTGCCCAAAATTCCTCCATTTTTCCCATACACCTCCCCACCCCCCATTAAGGATCAGCATTCACTTATCAGAGAGAACATTCAGCCTTTGGTTTTTTAGGATTGGCTTACTTTGCTTAGCATGGTATTCTCCAACTCCATCCATTTACCTGCAAATGCCATAATTTTATTCTCTTTTAATGAGGAGTAATATTCTATTGTGTATGTATACCACAATTTCTTTATACATTCATCTATCTAGGTTGGTGCCATAGTTAAGCTATTGTGAATTGAGTTGCTATAAATATTGATGTGGCTGCTTTACTATACTCTGCTGATTTAAAGAAGCATTGTTTTATGTAATTAGGTTCACTATCATTTGGGGTATACATACTTTCTATTGTTATATTTTCTTGTTGAATTGAAATTTTAGTAGTATGTAAAGCATTCCTTGTCTTTTATGAATTTTGCTCCAAATCTGCTTTGTCAGATGAGAATAGCTACTCCTGCTTCTTTTAGGAATTTAAGAATGGAAAAATTTTCCAGTAGTTTACATTCAGTCTATGAGTGTCTGTCATGGTTTCAATATGAGGTGTCTCCCACAAGCTCATGTGTGATACAGGGCAAGAAGGTTCAGAAGACAAGATTGAGTTTAAGAGTCTTAACACAATCCATGATTTAATCCCCTGATTGGGATTAACTGTGTGGTAACTGAAAACTGGTAGGGTGGAGGACATGAGAATTGGGGAGTGGCTTTGGGTATATATTGGCAATCAACAAGTGGACTCTTTCTGCTTCCTGATCATAACTTGAGCTGATTCTCTTCAACACATTCTCCCACCATGATATTCAGCCTTGCCCCAAGCCCCAAGGAATGGATCTGGCCTTCTATGGTCTAAAATTTCCAAATCTGTAAGCCCTTCAATAAACTCTTCCTCCTCTACAGTTGTGCCGGTCAGGTCATTTAGTCAGAGCAGCAGAAAAGCAAACTAATACAGTAGCTTTGCATATGAGATGAGTTTCTCAAAAACAACATCAGTTGGATCTTGTTTTTGAATCCATTCTACCAATAAGTGTCTTTTAACTGGGGAGTTGAGAATATTTACATCTGGAGTTATGGTTAAAGGTTTGCTACTTTCTGCCTTTTTCTTTGCTATGTTTTATTTTGTCTTGACTTCCAGTAGTTGATTGCTCTTCTATGTGACAACCCACAGAGTTCAAACCTGTGAATGAAAGGGTCACCATGCTCTTTGGTTACTTTCAGTTTGCCTCCTAAAAGTGTAATTTGTTTTGAAAAATATCTTTCAGGCCTCTTCTGCTTTTTCATTATGTTTTGTAATTCAGTTAGGCTACATATAAACAGCTTGACCCTTGATCTTGTTTTAATGCTTTATTAGGTCATCTGTCTAGGCTGAATCTTCCACTGTAAGTCATCTCTACTAGACTTTAAACTAAAGGAGAGCAGAGTTCTCATGTGTTTTATCTGTAGAACTTAGTATAATGGCTTCCATGTCATAGGTACTCTTTACACATTTGTTCAGTGTGTGAGGGAGTACATGGAAAAATGTAGAATCCTTCACGGATGAAAATACTCAAATATTTTATTTCTATCTTGTTTTCTCTATGATGCAGATTCTCATAGCCTACCAAAAATCCAAAATGCAGTTGATTCATGTCAAAGAATAATAGAACTTGAAAAAAGTCACTGTTCACAGTGTTTATTACATACACAAGAAGTAGCAAAACTGGAAAATAAACTTTGTGGAATGAAAGAGAAGTTATCAGAAATGGAAAATGCAAACTCTAAGTTAGAGCAGAGAGAAATAAAATGGAAACAAGAACTCTGCCACTTGAGGTATGATATCCTAGATTGAAAGAAGGTTTGAACTCTTTTCTTCACACTGAAGATACATAGGGAATTTTTTAATTGCTGACTTACCTGCTGGTATTTTGCAAGGGAGAAAACTACTTATACTTGTAGAATCTGAAATCCTTACAAAAAGGAAACATATGCAAACTATGATTCTTTCTAATAACTAAATTCACGTTATTTTCAATCATAATTTCAATGGCTATATAGAAATCTCACTATCAGAAGGATCACACTATTGATTTAACAAGTGGAATTTGGGATTATTTTTCATTCATTTTTTTTGGTATTACAATCAATACTTCACAGAACCTCATTTACAAAAATTATTCCACATTTTTATTGATGCATTATACTTGTTTAAATGGAGGGATTTTATTACATATTCATGTGTACACACTATATAATAATATAATTTGGTCTGTATTATTCCCTTTTTTTCTTTCCCTCCCCTTCTCCCTCTACTCCAATGAGTTCCTTTGATCTCCCTGAGACTGCCCCACACCTTTCTTTTCCTTTGCCTTTCTAGTTTCCACATGAGAGAAAACATATGAAACTTAACCTTACAAATGTGACTTATTTTGATTAAAATATTGCTCAGTTTCCATCCATTTCCTGCAAATGACATAATTTCATGGAAATTAATTTATATTTCTGCTTAGTTTGAATAATTTTGTCAATATAGAATTATTTGTTTAAAGAAGAGTAACTTCATGAAAAGACATTTCATCAATATTTCTAAATGTTCTCAAGACAGTTTATATTGATTTATAATTCCACCAAAGAGGATAAAATGGCCATTTTTAAAAAATTTGTTCTAAGTTATACATGACAATAGAATGCATTTTGACACATTATACACAAATGGAGCACAAGTTCTTCCTATGGCTGAACATGGTATAGAGTCATGCCAGTAATGTAATCATACATGTATATGGAGTAAGAAAGTCCATCTGATTCCACCATTATTCCCAACCCCACAAACCCTCTCCTTTTTTCACTTACTTCTATACAATCTAAAGTCCCTTCATTCTTCCCCACACATCCATCCCCCATTATGGAATAACATCCACTTAACAGAGAAAACATTTGGCCTTTTGTCTTGGGGGTTTGTCCTATAAAATAGCCATTTTTGTGCACCCCAAAATGTGTTTTTAAATATTTATGCAGGGTTTTTTTTTTTCCTTTTTTCTGGTGCTTGGGATCAAACCCAAGGGTTAGTGCAACTAAGTAAGTATGCTCCTGTGGAATTACACCCTGGGTTATGGTTTGAATCCTAACATCCATTAAACCAAATGTGAAATGGAAAATAATTATTATTTTTTTAAAATTTCTCCCTCATATGTAAACAAAATTTGGTCAAATTTCTATGTTGAAAGGACATATATTCGTTATCATTGGACTAAATATTAGGTTGTGCCTTATTCCAAAGGGGATTTTGAATTGTTTATAAAATACATAATGATAAACAAGCTAAATTGAAAGTGTTATCTAAAAGAAACATTAAAAGTTGTAACAACAGGAACTGGACTCTTTAAATTGGTCTTGCTAATATGCAGACATATGCTATGTGAACAACTTCTGAAAGTGGCATGTTACAATGGCATTCAATTGCAGTGCTTGCTGTTTTATTTCAAGAATATAAAGGCTAAGTACTAGTGAATTAGTCTTTAAAACTCTTTTGCCTAAGGAAGTGCAAAAATGATCTTTGTTTTGTTTGTTTGTTTGTTTGTTTGTTTTGGCAATGCTGGGGATGAAACACAGGGCCCCCAGCAGGCAAGCACTCTGCCATTGATCCACATCCCAGATTCCCCACCCCAAATCATTTCAAACACTCAATTTATGGATCCATATCAAAAGTCCCTTTCCATAGTATCTACTGGAGTTACTAGTAGCAGCCATTTCCCAACTGACAGAAAGATCTTTCATTATTAACTTATATGTTTTTTAAAAGTTTGAAGGAGAAATTTAAAAAGGTGAGCTAGAAAGGAAAAGAATCTTAGAACATAGAATTTTTATTAGCCTAATGAATCAACCTATGAAGAACCAGAACACAAAATGCACATTTGTTTTCTGATAAAATGAATTTTAAGATAACCATATTGAACTGCAGGCATGATTTAAAAGGAAAAGAGAAGAAGTTAAGAGATTTTGACCAGCTTTTTGAAAAAATGAATAACCAGTTAAGAGAAAAAGATGAGGAACATAATAAAAAAATTGAATTGAACAAAGAATTTCAACTGTCTTCTGGGACATTAAAAACAGAATTAAAGACTGTAAGAAGTAACTCAAATCAGGTAAATTAGTCTTCAGTATAGCTTCATATTTCTTACTCTATTCATAATATCCCTTTAACATAATATGTGTGGTCATGTTTCACTTAATTATGGGGACATGATCTGAGAAATGTGTTGTTGGCATTCATTATGCAATCATTGTAGGCATGTGCTTATACAAAATGCCTATATCTTCCACAAACTTCTGGGACCACTATTGAAATATGCTGTTGTTACACAGTATGTGACTCTCTATTATTTGGGTTTAAACCAAAATGTCGTCTCTCCCTAAGATGAAATCATAACATTTATAGCTAAATTCATTTATTGCTTATCTTGGCATCATATAGATGCTCAGCATATGTTTTGAAAAGGTGAGTTGAGTTCAATCAGTAGCATAAATGTTAACTTAGGGAATTTTATGTTCAGATACAGGATAAAGGCTTTGAAAATATCATGGGACAAGTTAACTGAGTTTTTAAAAAATTGTTTTTTATAATTCTGTTTTATGTTTTAAAGACAATTTTTTCTATGTGACAAATTTACCTGTCATTTTTACAGTTAAAATTTGAGTAATTTATTTGAGATAAAGGTCTGTATAGTTTAATTTGTTTTTAGTAGTTTTTTTTAAATTTGCAGATACTGCTCTTGATTAAGATTTTAGACTTTCTCCCCACTGCTAATATGAGACCAATACCTTACTGAAATGAATCTTTAGGTGTTAGCCAAACTTAAGGACTCCCAGAGGCAATATATTCTTAAGAATATAATGTCAGAATTTATAAGATAGAATTCTGTCAAATCATCTTTGCAAATAAAAGGAGAGAGGCATGGCAAAAAATAAAAAGAAATTTTTTTTCTTAAACTATTTTGTGTTGTTTTCAAGTGCTTGTCTCTTTGTGTGAATGTGTTGCATGCATCTGTGAACATACATAGAACAGTATCTAGATCCATCGTGGAAAAGTATAGATAATTTTAAAGCCATATATGTATATTTTTAATGTATCTATTCTGGGGTTGAGGGTGGCATTTTGGTCGCATTGGCCTAATTAATGCTCTTAATTCAACTCCATTTGTCAGCAGCAGTCCAATAGTGACTTTCACATTGGCCACATCCAATAATAATTTCCATAATAATTTTCATAGGAATTGATGACTTTCATAATCTCAAAACCCTTGTTACTAACATAAAGTTCTAGTTTGGGGCAGTGATTTCACCCTCTTGGTATATTAATATGGAGGTTAGTTTATTATTCCCACCATTCAGTAAGCAGGCAAAGCACAGCCAGCAGAGACCCTAGTTAAGATAGCATTTCCTCATGTAGGAGAAGAGAAACAGTTTTCTCCAAGTAATCTCCTATTTCAGTACAAAAAAACTTTTGGAGACTATGATATTTCATAATATTTTACTTAGTAATTGATAAGGATGTCATCCCTGATAAATGAGATAAGTTCATTTCCTTTATTTCACATTTACTCGTGTTCCAGACTTTACAAAAAAAGAAACAAATCTTAATGAGCAGCAATCTCATGATTTTCTGAGAACACACCAAATCGGATCTTATTTATGATTAATATTATAAAACACAAACCTTCTTTTGTGTTTTTATTTTTACAGCAGAGAAATGACTAGTTTGATGAAAGAGCACTAGAAGCAGCTTGCTTACATTTATATTATTCCTTGTTTCAGATTGTGATAAAAAGTTAATTGGTGTATGTAAAATGCTTAATTAAGTACAGTGCCTGGATTTATCATTTACCAATAGCTACAATTATAAGAATTGATTGCAAAAATGTTGAAAAAATAGAATACATATAGAATATTTTCAGAAATAGGGAACTTAAAGAACTTTGGGAAATTTCATCTGTCCAAATGTGTGTAGAGCTAAGGCCCTTATTATGGATTGGCTGGCTGTATACATGAGGTATCAGTATCAGAGTGCAAACTTTATTAATTTATTTATTTTAGTTGTTGAAGGACCTTTATTTTATTCATTTATTTATGTGTGGTGCCTAGGATTGAGCCTAGTGCCTCACACATGCAAGGCAAGCACTCTACTATTGATCCACAAACCCAGCCCACAAACTTCATGCTTTAACATGGTCAAAGTTCCTAATCACTTACCTGATGTCTTCAATCTGTTGTAATTTAGAAAAAGGCTTCTTCAGTTTTGAAATTCTATAATCATTTTTTACACTCATAGATTAATTTTCTTCAATACACCTTGTGAACTCTTAGAAAGTTTTGCTTCTCTAACCTCTGAAATTCACATCTAATTTTTCTCCACTTGGATATCCATGTATTGCAACCCTTTCATTGCATAAATGTACATGTTCAAACTTTAGTTTCAGAGGTATAGTGACATCTAATTTCATTGAGTGCTAGCTAAAGGTCTCCTTGATTTTCCTTAGGTTTCTACCAGGAATGAAACAGAGAAAGTGCCCTTGCATGAATTCCACATGTTGAAGGATAAATGTGATATGCTGAGTCTGGAAATGAACCAAATGAAATGTCAGAATGAGGAAAACAAAAAGAAATATCTTGATATTTCAAGAGCAGAGTGTCATGACCTTCATAGGAGAATCAAATTAATGGAGGAAACATTTAGGAAAACAACATTGCAATATAATAAACAGATTAATTCTCTGAAAACTGAGATTACAAAGCTAAATATTAAGCTGAAAAATAAAGAACAAAACACCGATAGACAGGAAACAGAAGCCAAATCATACCCTGCCAGTCAGGCTGTTGCTCCACACCCTTGTGATGAAAGTCAGACATCACAAAGAGAACAAGAACTTCTTTCCCAGACAGCAAGAGATGGGTGCCCTGATTTAGAGGACAAGAGTAATTTCAAAATATCAAAACAAAATGTTAGGAGGCTGATTCAGTCCCCAAAGTTTTCCAAGCCTGGAATAAAATTCAGAGACCAAGAAAAAGGCCTCTGTATTCAAACAAAGCATGATCTTAGAAAAGTGACTATGGTATTGAACCAGGTACAAAGAGACCTAAAACAAAACCAGTGCCAAATGAATGAAATGAAGCACATGTATCAAAATGAACAGAGTCAAAACTACAAAATGAATGAAATGAAGCACATGTATCAAAATGAACAGAGTCAAAACTACAAAGAACTGGAACCTATAGATGAGAGATTATCTCAAATGGAAAGTGAAATTATATTTCTAAGACAGCAGTTCCATGACTTTAACAACAAAGCTGATGATACAGAAGGCTTGCCTGTTTATACCCAAGAGCAATGGGATACCATAAAACTAAGTCAGGATGAGGATGAAAACTCCAGTCACAAGCTACAAAACAGACATATGGAGTTAATGAATAGAAATTGTCACTTAAAAGAAAAATCAGATAAATATAAAAAGAACTCTGAGAGAAAAGTAAGTATTAAGCAAAATATATGGATTGTGTTTGAAGGAGAATTCAGTGAAATTTGATGATGGCAAACCTGATTTCCAACACAATGAAATGATTCATGTTTGAAGTAATAAATCTGCCAATGATGGTTACACATTGTATACATGTTTTAGAGTAACACACCCTATCTGATGAATAGTAAAATGTGGGCCAATTAAAAGGAAAAAGTTTCGCCTTATGTGAAACTGATTTTAACATTTAAAAATGGAAGAAACATTTAAAGCTTTAGAACTGCAGATGCTTTATTTTGAGTAAAGACATTGTGTATTTACCAGGAATTATTTCTTTACATAGGAATGAAGTTTCAAGAGAATAAGTCATAGATTTTTAGTAGAGATATGCTGATATTAATAATACAGAATTAACATTGCTGAAACAATATCTGTTTTTGCTGTTGGGGATGGAATCCATGGTCTTGTGCAATCTATGCCCATGTTCTAACACCAGGCCTACACTCCAGCCCTCAATACTAACTTGAAAGTCTTCATGTTGCCATACTTTTTAAGACCATGATGAAACAGATAAATGGGAATGCTCATATGTAGATTAAATTAAGTGGATTACTTTAATAATCCATTCCAAGTTTCCAAGCTGAAGTGAAATGTAGATAATATAGTTTTTAATAGACTTCCTTCACTAGCATTTTATACATTTCTAACTGATAATTTGATTTTATTCACATAAGTTTGACTTAATTCTGAAAATAACTGGCTCAATTTTTTTTTCTCATCTCCTACCAACACTATAAAAAAATCTACTATCATTAATATAATTTGGGACAAATGCAATGCATTGCAGCAAAACTGATGTGGATTTAATTTTCCTGCTGACTCTGGAATTTATTGCCTATCTTCACAGATAACTTGCTAATACTTTTCATTTCAAGGTTCAATTGCTATCATGTAACAGATAGGAACTATTCTAGTACAAAGATAATTGCAGCTCCCTGATTCATTAATTTGGCATTAAATTCCCATTTTCAACAAAGTAATTTAAATTCCAATTTAAACAAGTAGATTTTTGTACAGTGAGAATGGGGTGAGGAGGGGAGAGAGTTGAAGGAGTTGAAGAGAGTGAAGAAGGTAAAGGTCAGGTTGAGTGGGACCTCACTTTTTTAGGAGGTGGGAATCTATTGGATTCACACAGAGGATTGAATATAGTTAGAGCTCAGTTTTTTAGTTGAGTCTCTGTTAAAAAAGGGATGATTTTCTGTACAGTTTTCACTACTCCTAGCAGACCTGCATAACCATTTCTGTTTGAGAATTTGGTAGGTTGTGATGCATTTCATCAAATGTGAAGTCGATACAGGGCTGAATCTATTGTCTAAGGGATATGATGGTAACTAGGCAAGAAAGCACCTTCCGTGTCCTTGTTAGAATTCAGAAATAAACAGAATTTACACATGAGGAAAAGAAGATGAATTAATGATAACATTTCAGTTTTAAACATTATTAACAAAAAGTGAAGTTATTTACAAAATCTTTAACAGACATATCTCCTCAGGTAGTTGTGAGACAACTTCCACAAGAACTGGCTGATAACCTGACAGAGCAACCTATGTCAGAGGCTTCACTAGAACATTCATCCAGTAATCACCTTGAAGTAGAATATGAGGCACAGGGTTTGAAGAAGAAACTAGATCAAATCAATTGTAAAGTACGTATTAATTGTATTTGTCAACCATTGCTCTGCACCTGTTTCAATTATGTTAAATGTTTAAGGATAAAAACGTCAGTGGACAGTGTTATTTGTATTTTTATTATAATTAATTTTATTACACTTTCTTTATAGTGCATTTTTTTATAAATTCTGAGTTTTATTTTTACATTTTTTGTAATATCATGCATGTTTTCTCACTTGCAATCCAGTGACTTGGAAGATAAAGGCAGGAAGATCACAAGTTTAAGGCCAGTCTCAGCAACTTAGTAAGGCCCTAAGCAACTTAGCAAGTCCCTGTCTCAAAAAGAAGTGGGGATATAGCTTAGTGGTTAAGCACTCCTGGGTTCAATCAGTGGTTTTAAAAAAAAAAAAAAACTACTTAACTACCCTCAGGAATGCTGAGAATTGTACATCAATCCTCACATATGTTGATTTTTTTTTTCCGTTAACTATGATTTTTTTAGTGCTACCTCCATTGCCATGGTGTAGCAAGGCAGATTAAATCAGAGAATACCATTTCATGGAATGTTCCAGGGAATTGAGTTATTTCATACCTTCATTTCTATGATTGGATACAGAATCTATGTGTAATTGTTAAATGAATTTCTAGAAAACTTGCACAGAAAGGCTATTATGCTTTTCTCAAATTTCAGGTTAATTTTAAAATAATGGGAAAACTCAGTGTTTTTTTAAAATTTAAACAGATTATAAAAGCATGCAAATGTTTCGATCATGTCTGGTACCTCTATCCAAAGCAGAGAGTGTAGATCTTTGAAAAGGCAAACTTACTGGGATTTGTTGGACAAATTTGTGCTCAAATATTCTCAAGATGCTTCTTTTTTTATGAAACACTGTTGTTTTATTCATGCAGGTCGATAATCTCAATATAAAACTAGAAGCTACAGCTTCAAAATATTCACATTTGGATGAACAATTTGAACTTGCTTTGGAAAGCCTACAATATACATGTGAAAAAGTACAGAACAATCAAAAGAAGTTGGAAGAAGATGTAGCAAACCTCAAAATTTATGTGCAGGACAATAAAATAAAAAATGGTCAAGGAGAGCCTCATAGATGGGAGATTGAACAAAGAACAAGAGAGATTTTAGAGGAAAACCAAAAACAAGCATCTCCATTTTCAGAGGTTATTTTATTTATCTGTAATGTGTTTTAATTAATTTCACTGAAAATTTTATTTTGGAAATTTCCATTTTATGTGGGTCATCTACATTCCTTGAGAAAACTTCTTTTATAGATTTTTCAGAGTAAGATGTCATTTTTAAATATCTCATTTTCCCATCATTGTAAAAACTGACTTCATCTTTCAGAAAAAATGACTTTATCAGAGAATCATTCAATATTTAAGGGTAGTTGTATTAATAAGACAATTAGCAGGAAACAAAAAAAAACGTGAAGTCAGAGTGTACCATTCTCTTGATTTTTTTCAATTATTAAATGATTTTATACTTTTTTATTTTTCACATTACTGATGCTAACATGAGAATGATTCATGGCTGAGGTCCTACTTCAGTGGTAGTTTGTGTAGCCTTTGCAAGGCCCTGGGTTCCAACCCTAAAGAATAGAGAAAAAAAAAAAAGCAATTGACTTTGATGATAAAACTCCACCATCTTTTGTCCACATGTTTAAAATTGCTCTCTGAGTTACTGATTCTAAATTAAAGTAACAAAATATACAAATAATTATTTGGGTAATAATTATTTTTAAAAATATGTCATTTATGGCTGGAGTACCTAGCACATGTGAGGCACAGGGTTCGATCCTCAGCACAACATAAAATTAAAATAAAGATATTGTGTTCATCTACTATAAAAATATCTTTTTAAATATGTTCTTTCAATTTCCTTTAGACATTTGATAGAGCTTCAAATGAAAATAATAAGGTTTCATTAATGAAGTTGATGCAATTCAGAATTGAAAAGCTAGAATCTCAAGTGTCTGAAATTAAAAATGAAATTTCTGATAAAACACCAAGGTAAGAATATAATGAACTCTGTGTAGAAGAACACAAAATCCAGAAGTATGTCCACATGTACACCAACAAAAAATAGCTTAATCTCCTTAATTTGTCTCCAATGCATAACTTTTAGTGAGAAAAAAATATGAGATTAGTAGGATGCAAAATCTAATCAGACAATACAATTTTCAGAAGTAATTTTATTAAATGAACTTACTTTTGAAATATTGGTCCAGGAAGTTTATATCCCTCACACTTTTTTGTGTCTGTATGGCTTTCTCTCCTATTTTCTATTTCTACCAGACTTTCACCTCAGCACTTTTGAAGCTTTATAATTCAGACAGTTATATTGTGACCAAGTTACTTACAGGCCTTTCTTTACATAGAATAGTAAAAATTTAATTATTGGTTGAAAGTGTTCAACTTAAACCCTAAGGGTATTGGATTGCTAGTTCTACCCTCTTAGCACATTCTGATACTCGGTAAATTAACCATTTTTTATTGTGATACTTGATATTACCCCAGATGTTACCTAGAGACAAAATGACCTTTGCAGTGTTTCCTCTCTACGTAAGGTCTTCTTTTGATACAGGGAAAGAATATCACAGGGCTCAAAGGAAGTTTACTTTGCAATGTGGTTAAAAATAATTCCATGGTCAGTGTTGGGGGCAATTAAAATGAGAATTGACAGGTCCCACCTCTGATATCTCAGTAACAAAATTATGAGCTGATTGTCTTGAATTCTTAATCATCAACTCATCTATCTTGTTCTGCCCCTGTGGTTGTTGCTGTGAATTATTTCTCAGTGCCCAATGCTTGATTTCTCCAGGTGATAGTTAGAATATGTAGATGGTGAGAGCAAATGCTTGAAAATCTCTTTAAGGGATGGTTTTTAAATTCTTCAATTGGTCTAATAATACAAGTATTTCTAGTTTAGCTTCACTCTTATTTTCTAGTTGTATATGTTTAAGGAGTACATGATGCTTTAATACAATTTAGCAGAGTGAAATGTCTTTGTAGTCAAATAAACTAAGGTATCCATCATCTCACACGGTTACTGTTTAAATACCAGTATTTCTAATGGTGTCCTCAAGAAACCCTGAAGGAGAGCCTTTCAAGAAGGCAAAAGTGTTACCCTTTAAGTCACACATCTCTGCCTGCCATTACTCTCCACATGTATTGTTTGAATTTCTTGTTAGGAGGCCCCAAGAAATATGGATATATCTTCAAAACTCTTTAAAACCTGTAATTATATGCCCTACTCTATTTTGATGGATTTTCAATGTTAAGATTCTTTTCACTGAGAAATTCTATTTATTCCTATGGCATTTTTTTTTTAATGCAAGTGGAGGAAAAAAAAATGAAATACCAAGAATTTGCCTTTTGAAATCCTCACAGAATCAGTAAGAGGCTTCAGGAGGTTATTAACCTGGGAGAAAACATAGCAGGTGCTACTTCCAACCCACAGCCTTCATGTCAAACCCTTGAGGACTATCTGGCTGAGGTGAGTTATGCTTTGTTTATCTTTTGGGTTTCAGATTTCTGATTTGTCTTGTTTTGACTTTGTTGAAATACTGAGTTGTTTAGTTGACTTATGAATATTAACTGAAGGTCATGATAATCTGTAACTATAATGAATTACAAACAGATTTTCAATTTTTATAAAGTATCTGGAGGTCTTATTTTTAAAAGACACTTGTTAACTTTATTCAAGTTAAATGATATTTTTAACTGTCCTTTAACTTAAAGTAGATTTTTTGATTGAATTGAATATTTGAAATTAATAAACCTTGGTTTAGGGCTCTGAAGGAGTTTTCATGATCTTCTTAACTCACAGAAAAATAGTGCAGGTCTATGTTAAGTCAGGCCTCAATATGATGTTTTCTTTTGCCTTTGCATTCTAGTGAAATCAAGAGAAGAGCAAATCTAAGATTTATAAAAATCCATGTAGTAAAAGGTGCTGAAATGGGGAACAAATTACATAACTTTTAGTATGTAATTATAAGATCCTAGCTAGCTGATATTTTTTGTCCATCAGCTTGTTGGCTTACATGCATATTTTTCTGAAAAAAAAAAAAACAAAACTGAAAGGCCCAGGATTGAAGTCTCTCTCAACCATGAAATTAGAATATTATGCACCAAAAAAAATTGTGAAATATTTCTGTAAATTGTTAAAGATGATATGAATACAAGATGTTCTCATTCATTCATACCAGAAAATATCAGGCAGTGTATCATTTAATAAGACATTGATGAATGAATGTGTAAATGGAGACACAATGCAAAGGAATATTTTTGGGGGAGGGGAACATTTTCCATTAATTTTTCTGGGAGAAAGACATGTTTATTTTTTAGTGCTTATAAATAGGTTGAAGAATACTTGAAAGTTACTCTAGTACTTCCTCTAGATATCCTTGCAGAGCATTAGTTTGCCAAAGCAGGCCGACTTTAACAGGAGTAAAAAAGCACTGTTCTATCAAGCTGCAAAGTCAGGTCTCTGTCATCCCTGCAGAATGCCTTCAATGGGGAAGGGAGGAGAGGGAAAAGAAAGATACTGAGGAAGAAGGTTGATCAAATTATTTTATCTGCATGTTTGACTATGTCATTATACATTCCACTAATATCTATGACTATAATTCACCCAAAGTTAGTACTCAAGTCATTTCATTTTGAAAAAGAGAAGAAAAGCCTGAGAACCCTGTCAGTCCAATTACTTACCTTCACATTTAAACTGTATAAAGGCTTTGGACATCACAGTATTTTTATCACCTCAAAGTACTTAGTATGTTCAGTATTCTCTTACTTTTTGGACCTTGTTTGAGGAATCAGTAAGAGAATACGGTTTTTATGAAGAACAGTCTAGATGGGGTACAGTTTGAAGCTTTTCCACATGTTTGTAAACACATAAGTGTAATTAGCAAAAATGTTTCAAAAACTTTGGTCCCAAATCCAGGGAAGAAATCAGTTACAGTTAAACAGCTACATATTGTTTACAAATCTGTAAAGTCACAAATCAAAGAAACATAAGTTTAAACTGGCTCTAAGTAATATTTATACTGCTTGTGCGTGTATGTGTATGTGTTTATAGTGACTGAACTCAGGGATGCTCTACCCCACCCCCAGCAACATCCCTACTCCTTTATAATTTTTGTTTTGTGGCTGGCCTCAAACTTGCCATCCTCCTGCTTCAGCCTCCTGGGTCACTGGGAATTACAGGCATGTGCCATATAGCACATGGCATTATTCTGTCTCTCAATAGAATTTTCTGGAATCTTTGTGTACCATGTTAATAAAAGATGGTTTGTCATATTCCACATAACAATATTTTGAAACTTTGACCAGATTTTCACATGAGGCTATGATAATACCTCTTTCTTCACATATGTATTTAATTTAATGGGCTGAAAATTTGATAGCATTGAGAAGATGTTAAATGTTTAATTTTCTGAAAGTAGATAATGGAAAATTTATTTTAAGGAAAATGACATTGAAGTGAAAAATTTGATAAGAAGTTTCTAAAGGGCAGAGTTTTGCTAAGAATCACACTCTATTGCCATCTAAAAATAGGAGTCCAATTGTTGCCCGTTAGTTAGCTAAAGCAGCACCATCTGAAATGACTTACATTTAATAGACCAGTGGGGATTCGGAAGTTTAACAGCATTGTACATACTTATTCTCTATATAAACTTAAAATAAGTGGACTTTTATTTTGTTTGTGTGATTATTTTAATCCATCTTCAAGTTAGTTCTAGTCCCTTAAAGTTCTTTTGAAAAAGCTACATTTTCTAAGTAATGTATCATATTCATGATAATCTCTGTTTAAACTAAGCAATGTAAATAATAATTGCCTTATTTCAGATGAATGAGAAGTTGGCCAGAGGCTTTATCTAGAAAAGCTAGAGCAGGTATGTTGCCAAACTATGGTTGAATTTGGATTTATTAGTTGATTTCTGAAAAACACAATACACAGCAGATGGCATGGCTTTCCTTGGATTGGTGAATAGATTTCTACGTGAATTCAATTGTTTTTCTTAAAAACAAACATCAAATGAAAATTTTGGAAAAAAAAATACCAATGAAGAACAAACTCATTTATCATTTACTCACATTCATGGCCTGTAAAGGCTCAGACTGTCTGTACATACCTTTTTCTGGATTGACTTTTTTTTTCACTTCTGCCACCACTATGAAAACAAAGGCATCACCCACTTCTATCTGGTTGTGGCCAAAAGCCCAGACTCATCTAGGAACACTTGGTCAAGCATTTCAAATGCCCTGACATTGACTTTGTCATTGGTTTTGCTCTCAAGAAAAGTTCCAGCTTTCCTAGCAAGGAATTCAGATATCCAAATCAATTGAATTCCATCAGGTCATTCAGCTTATCTCTTGCACACACCCTACTCTGCCCCTCTGCTCTAGCTTCAAGTCACGCTGTGATACTTGTATTCCTCACCTCTCACTCTTTGCAGGCACCTCTTCTCTCTCTCTGTCATACTTCCTTTTTATCCTTCAGGTGTCACCTCAACCCACAACCTGTACTATTGACCTAAAATGGGGACAGAAGTCACTTCTGTGTTCCAATAGTATACCCTTGTTTTATACCTCTCATAGCACCCACCACTCTAAGGAAGTATCCTGTCCTTGTGTTTTTAAACTTAGGGGGTCTGATTGGTGACAAGATGAAGATGATGATGGCTTTCATCATCTTCATCTTGTCACTCAGAGCTTGCCAAATGCTTTAACATATAAGGCTGTTGAATTCCTGAATGCAGGGTGGAAAACCTGAAGCTCTGATCCTCAGCCACATTGATAAATCAGTGGGCAACTCTGGGCAAATTATATTTCAGAGTTACCTTGTAGTCATGCACACATGGTTTTCACTATACTAACATGGAAAAGTTATTAAGTTTTTGTTTACTAATTCTTGCTTAGTTAACTATGAAGTGTTTGAGATGAAGAATATAATTATTTTTCTTTCCACTTGCTACAGAATTTGTTCTTGACCCACTAGAACTTCTGCCTTAAGATCTACTGATAAGCCAAGAAAAGATCTACTTTGGGAAGCATCACAGGAATACACAGAAGTTTTAAGGGGAAAATATTTGATATTAATGATAGCATCATATCTGTCAGACCATTGGCATTTTAATTGTTTCCCACTAAATGTGTGATGTGGAAAATTTATTGAAGGAAAATATGTTTGTCACACAGATATATGAGGGAATTCATACAATATTTGAAATTTCTTTGCACCTATCACTAAATTTGAAGTACAAGTGTGAACTAGTATCTCAGATATTAATGTCATCAAACTGTCTAAATGCCAGATATTTAAAAGGCACCTAAACAATCAAGGGATCAATATTACCTCCATGTATCTAAATATAATATTAATGATGAATTATTCATATGATACAAATTGTATCACCACATATGGACCTAGAGATTTAGACAGACAGCATTTTGGTGGGCCAGTACTACTTTAAAGTATTACAATTATTATACTGTCATCAAACTTACATACTTTTAATGGTTTATGCATTAACTTATATCCCTTTCCTGGTGAGAAACAAAATGCGCTTAGGGCTTTTCACCTTTTCTCTTTGTTCATTTATACAATTTTGATGTTTTGTAAATACTCTTAATATTCAAGAAAAGTTCCAGGCTCTAGTATAAGAACCATTTCCACCCTGAACCATTTGGAATTAAATTGCTGACATACACCACCATTCATGATTACTTTAGTATTTCCTACAATTCAGAATATGCTACAAAAATGCAATACAGCTTTCATAAATGATACATTAATACTAATACATTCTATTATAATATATTCTACCATCATCAGATTCTTTCCAGTTTTGCTACTTTCCTAATAATGTGCTTCATAACAACAGTGTACCATTCAGATTCATGAAATGTACCCAGTTGTCGCATTTTGTTGACTCCTTCAGGGTCAAACATTCCTCAGTCTCTTCCTTGACCTTCATGATCGTGAATCTGATAAGGAAGAATGCTCATATAATGTGCCTCAGATATACTTTTCTGTATTTTTATGACTGGAACCAGATTACATGTTATTTGGCAAGAGTATTGCCGAAATGCTTCTATGACTTTCCCCTTGAATCCCATTACTGATGATGTTAGCATTGATCCCTAAAGGTGGTAGGGTTTCTGTTCTGTAATGTTGCCTTCACTCTTTGTAGTTATTTAGCATTTTATATGAAGATAATTTGAGACAGTTACATATATCCCTATGCCTCATCCAACTTTCCCTATATTCAATTAATAGTATCTATATAGATCTATGGCTTATTTTATTGAGTGTAATGTTACTTGTTGATTTTAAAATTTTATGTTTCTCTTAGAAATATTCTATTTTGATAATTTCAAACTTCTTAAATGTTTTGTAATGTTAGTACAAAGAATTCCTAGAAAACATTCCCAAAATGTTAACATTTTACTAGCTTTGCTTTAACCCTTGTCCTCCTGTCTTTCTAGATAAATATAAGTATATAACAAAGATAATTTTCTCTCAACCATTTGTGAGTTGGAGACATGATACCTCTTTATGACAAAATGCTTGTATTTCCTAAAAACAAAATTACCTTATGTAACTATAGCATAAAGACCAAAATCAAAAACATCAAATTGTGTTAAATGTTAATATGTAATCTACAAAACTTATTCATAATTTGCTAATTATTTCAACAATGCCCTTTATAACCAAAATAAAACCTAGCTTGGGGCTGTTTTTAAATCCATAATTCATTGTGTCCAGTGGTCCTGTTTCTTTAGTCTCCTCTAGTCTGGGACAGTTCCTGAGTCTTGCTGTGCTTCTAACTTGTTGCTGACATTTAAGTTGTTGAATGGTACATGTCAGTTTTGTAGCTTTGTCTTCAGTTTGGGATCAGGTGATGTTGCCTCATGACTGGGTGCAGGATATGCCATTGGCAGGAAAGTCATGTATATGATACTGAGTTCTTCCAATGCAGTAGATTTCAGCTGCACTGACAGACCCTCCTGGCTTGACATGGAGGAAGTCCACAGACTAAGAACTGGGTGAACAGCCTCTAGGAAGGCAGGCTCTTTCCCTAAGACCTAGAGTTAACCTCCAGCCAAGAGTGAGCAAAACTGGGGGCCTCAGGCACACAGATATGAAGTGTATATTATTACTTGATTCCATGCTTGGCTGATACTGACTTTGATTCTCTTGTTAAGCGCTATCTGCCAGGGGATAGTGGTAGAGTGCTCAGTGGTAGAGTGCTCACTTAGCATTAATGAAGCCTGGGGTTCAACCCCAGCACTGCAAAACAAAAACAGCCACACTATTGACAAAAACAGGCTATTAGTTGTATTTTTGTTCTGGGTACTAATTCAATGATCCTTCAATGATCCAAGGTGCCCCTGATACAATTCCTCTTCAGTGGTACACTGTTGGCATGTCATTGACCTTTTCATAGAAAATATATTTTACTGTGCACTACACCATTTTTATAGAGGGATGTCCTATGAAATTCACAATATTTGTTTATAAATTAAGATCATCTTCTAAATTTATCCCCACTTGGTAGTTATTACATTCAACATTTCAATATGAGAAAAGTCTAAAATGTCCTAGAATTACAGGACAGCTACTTACCAAATGCTGTCCTTAAAACTATTCTTCTTTCTGTGATTTTTTTTTAAGAAAGAAGTTGTTATTTAAATATAAAAATTGGGTTTCATATATAAAAAGGTTTCATACATGTGTTTTGTTACAATCACATTTTTAATAAACTTTTTATTTATATATGACAGTGGAATGCATTACAATTCTTATTACACATATACAGCACAACTTTTCATATCTCTGGATATATACATAGTATATTCACACCAATTCGTGTCTTTATACATGTACTTTGGGTAATAATGTCCATCACATTCCACCATCATTTCTAACCCCATGCCTCCTTCCTTCCTCTCCTACCCCTCTGCCCTATCTAGAGTTCGTCTATTCCTCCCATGCTACTTCTCCATACCCTACTATGAATCAGCCTCCTTATATTAGGGAAAACATTCATTCAGCATTTGATTTTTTGAGATTGGCTAACTTCACTTACATTAACTTCTCTAACTCCATCCATTTAACTGCAAATGACATGGTTTTATTCTCTTTTATTGTTGAGTAATATTCCAAACTGTATCTTCACCAGGGTGAAGAGAGCTGGTAAGAGAATAAAAACAGACCCCTGCTTTGCTTGCTTCAACCTCATCTGCTGTTTTCTCTTCCTCTTTTCCTTTTTCCTTCCTCCACTGTTTAGCTATCTCCTTGCTGCCCAACCAACCTTGAAAAACAGCAAAGATTAAAAAAAAAAAAAAAAGCTCTTGAAAGCAGTGTTCTGACAGTTGTCAGGAGGGATAGAATTTTTTTAAGGTCCATCCCAAGCAAGAAGCATAAAAGTGAGGACAATCTCCAATCAACTTGCCTGGAAGTTAGGCAGAAGTTAAAGATGAAGATTACCTCAAGCTGGGCTAGACTCACAAGTACAATACACCTCTCCTTCCCTTGCACCCTAAAACTCCTATCCTGCTTTGTGAGAGGAGTTACTTGATCTTCAAGTCTTTCCTGATATACACCAGCTACATAAGATTTTTTTTTTAAAAAAAAAGAGAGAATTTTTAATATTTATTTTTAGTTTTCGGCGGACACAACATCTTTGTTTGTATGTGGTGCTGAGGATCGAACCCGGGCCGCACGCATGCCAGGCGAGTGCACTACCGCTTGAGCCACATCCCCAGCCCCTAAGTAAGATTTTAACTTTCATTTGACTTGCACTGCCTTTCCTTGACAGTATCCATATGGAAAAGGACATCATAACTCAGTGTGAGATGCCAGACACTGGTGGGGGCAGCATGTTGTGGGGCATCAGAGCTTGAGTTGAGTATACAAGGCATCCTTGCAGAATCTAGAGTTAGGGATCTTATTTGTGATTTAGAAATCTGGAGACTACAAAAGTAAGGGATTTTATATGTTGTTTTGATGCCTCTCCTAGCATCTAAACAGTGCCTGGTAACTAAAAGACTCAGATGCTCTAAGTGTTATATGATAAATGAATTAATGAATAAATAAATCACCTGAAAGATGGTTAAGAGCATAATCATACAAGGACATCATTCATTCTATCATAGATGATATTTTCTTTTTAAATAGTGAAAGCTTTTTTTGTTTTATAAGGCCAGAAGTTATTGCACATGATGAGAGAGCTCTGCTGTTCCATGAATGTTAACCCTCATTATACAAATCCTATTCTAAAAAAATACTTAGCACCACAACAATAAGACAAAATCCCAAGACAAGACACATTCCAGACACCTTGAGAGTTAAATGGGAACCTGGTAATAATTATCTTATTTATAAAAAATAAATAACATGGAAAATATAAGCAGTGGGGAAAGACTTCCTCTTTTAAGCAGTATTGTATTCTTTAATGTTTTAGTTGAAAAAATAATATTTAACTAAAATATTTTAAAATGTAAAACAATAATACAATGATTCTTTGACATTGAATATTATTATTTTCATGATCCAGCTTTATTTAAAAGTGTTCACTAAAATATTAAATGATGATAATCCTATTCATCTTCTAATTGTATAATTTAAATTAGATCACATTGTATATTGAATCATTAAATTTAAACCTATAGGCAAATAGAGATTAGCATATGTTTTGATGATGGATGACAGGTCATACACATATATTTGTATGTGTATATTATATTCCTAGCCATATTATATTCTGCTGCCATGTATAACTAATTAGAACAAATTAAAAACTCAAATAACCCAATTTATAAATGGAAAAATGAATTAAATTTCTCAAAAGTAGAAATACAAATGGCCAACAAATATATGAAAAATGTTCACCGTCATTAGCAAGTAAGGAAATGCAAACACTCAGATTCCATCTCACACTGGTCAGAATGGAAGTCACCTATAAACAATAACAAATGCTAGAGAGAATGTGAATAAAAGGAAGGCTTTTGCACTCTTGTGGGATTATAAATTAGTATGACCACTATGGAAATCAGTATGGAGGCCCCTTAAAAGACTAGGCATGAAACCACCATATCACCCAACTTTATCACTCCCTGGTATTTATCCTAAAGAACAATCATTATACTATGGTGATGCATGCATGCCCATGTTTATAGAAGCTTGATTCACAATAGGCAAACATGGACCAGCCTAGGTGTCCATAAACAAATGAACGGTTAAAGAAAATGTGGTGTAAAGGGTGAGGATATAGCTCAGATGGTAGAGTGCTTACTTTGCATCCACAAGGCCCTGAGTTCAATCCCCAGCACCAAGGAAGGAAGGAAGGAAGGAAGGAAGGAAGGAAGGAAGGAAGAAACAAAGGAAGGAAGGAAGGAAGGAAGAAAAAATGTGAAGAAATGAGAGCTTCTGGGCTCGAGTAAATCTCCAGACTCTGGACCCAAAGCCTGCTGCAGTCCTAGGTCATGCACAGCTCACAAGCTGCTTAACAGAAACACCTACTAAAAAAAAAATCCAAATTCAAGAAGCCTGCAGGACGCCAAATGTACAAAATCATAACAGACCCACACCAAGGCACATTATAATGAAAATGCCCAACATACAGAATAAGAAGAGAATTTTAAAAGCCACAAGAGAAAGGAATCAGATTACATATAAGGGAAAGCCAATTAGGATAACAGCAAATTTTTCAACACAGACCCTGAAACAACATATATCAAGCTCTGAAAGATAATGGGCACCAACCAAGAATCTTGTATCCAGAAAAATTAAGCTTCAGATTTGAAGATGAAATAAAAACCTTCCATGACAAACAAATTTGGAAGAATTTATAGCTAAAAAACAGGCACTACAAAACATCCTTGGCAAAATATTTCATTAAGAGGAAATGAAAAATAGCAATGAAAATCAGTAGAGGGAGGTAGTACACTGAAGGAAAAACTAATCAAAGAGGAAAACCAATTCAAGTAAAATTTAAAAAAATAAACAAATATGGCTGGAAATACAAACCCTGTCTCAACAGTAACCCTAAATATTAATGGATTAAACTCACCAATCAAAAGACATAAGACAGCAGATTGGATTTTAAAAAAGATCCAAAAATATGCTCCCTTCAGGAGACTCATCTGATAGGAAAAGACTTATACAGACTGAAGGTAAAAGGTTGGGAAAAATCATACCACTCTCATGGACTGTGGAAGCAAGCAGGGATTTCCATACTCATATCAAATAAAATAGACTTCAAGCCACGATTATCAAAAGGGATAAAGATGGACATTATATACTGCTCAAGGGAACCATACACCAACAAGACATACCAATCATTAATATATATGCCCCAAACAATGGTGCAACTACGTTCATCAAACAAACTCTTCTCAAGTTCAAGAGTCAAATTGACCAGGACACAATAATCTTGGGTGACTTTAACACACCTCTATCACCACTGGATACATCTTCCAAAGAAAAGATGAATAAAGAAACTATAGAACTCAATAACACAATCAATAACTTAGACTTAACTGACATATATAGAATATTTCAACCTGCATGAAGCAGATACACTTTCTTCTCAGCAGCACATGGATCCTTCTCTAAAATAGATCATATACTATTCCACAAAGCAACTGTTAGTAAATACAAAAAAGTAAAGACACTACCACGCATTTTATCAGATCATAATGGAATGAAATTGGAAATCAATGACAAAATAAAAAATAAAAATTTCTC